GCAATGTGTTCTTTGGCCTTCCACTTTTCCGCTTTCCTTCAGGGTTCCAAGTTAGGGCTTGCCTAGTGATGCAGTTTGATGATTTGCGTAATGTATGTCCTATCCATTTCCATCGTCTTTTCCTAATTTCTTCTTCAACTGGAAGTTGGTTTGTTCTCTCCCACAAAAGGCTGTTGCTGATGGTATCCGACCAATGGATGTTGAGTATCTTGCGCAGACAACCATTTACAAATACTTGTACGTTCTTGTTGGTGGTTGCTGTAGTTCTCCAAGTTTCAGCTCCGTACAGTAGAACTGACTGCGCTGACGTTCGTATTGAAGATTCTCACTTTGATATTGGTTGGCAGTTGTTTCGAGTTCCATATGTTCTTCAATTGTAGGAATGCGGCACTTGCTTTGCCGATCCTCGCATTTACGTGTGCATCTGAACCTCCTCGTTCATCGATGATGCTTCCCAGATATGTGAAGGATTCTACACCTTCCATAGTTTCGCCATCAAGAGTGATTGGATTGCTGTTCTCCGTGTTGTATTTGAGGACCTTGGTTTTCCCCTTGTGTATGTTGAGGCCTACTGATGCAGAGACTGCTGCTACACTGGTTGTCTTTATCTGCATTTCTTCGTGTGTATGCGATAGGGGGGCTAGGTCATCTGCGAAGTCCATATCGTGTAATTGGTTCTGAGCTGTCCATTGTATGCCATGTAATACACAACATTTAGCAATTTCATGTTGTATATTAGAGCATAAATTTTCATTTAAGATTACATTTCAAGCCTTAAGTTTCACTTCATTCTTTAAATCCAAAATAATTTAAATATTCTAAGTTAATGTGTTCATAAAAGATCATTGTAAATAGTTTTAGAGAATTAAAGTGAAATCCTCATTAAAAATCATGATCTAATATACAGCTATCATCCAATAAACGAATGTAATAATGTTCAAAAATATTAGATTTTACACATTTATTGAACACTGGAGCCATATATTTAGACGTCAATTAGATCAGACGATGTTGTCGATAGGCTCACCAATTTTGTGGTCTTATATCTAACTTTAGTTTGATCGTTTCTGATTACCATTGAAATATACATATCGTCAATTCTTGTATATAATTATTGACTTAAATCACGTTAGTGAATAACGTAACTAAATAAGTCAAATACGAGAATGGATTTGTGAATACATATATTTTGTATAATCGTTGATGGGAACAGATAATCAGAGAGATATAAAGAAGGAAATGAAGAAGAGAGAGTGAAACGAGGTGGCACACAATGGAGAAGGCGTGTGGGCCAACTCAATTTAATCAAGCGTTAATCAATATTCATAGTCAGATACAAATAAGTTACAGTTATGTGATGAGTAAGATAGGAAATGAACACACATACACTCATAAAAAAACAATCAGGGTTGTAACTGAATAATGAACGAGGTCAAAACGTAACTCAAAATTAATGAATAAATTAGCCTCTCCAGAAGCTAGAGCAAGTTATGTGGGCTTAACATAGCAAGCGAAAAAAAATCAGTTTCCACATTTAAAATAAATCTATATCAAATATTTTATTGCTATGATCGTGCAAGACGGGGTTTTTTGTTACGTAAATAAATAGAATTTTAGTCACATCCATTAAGTAAATAAGGTAATTACTAATGGAAGTTTATCATAATTTTTCAGCATAGTGAAAATTGTGTTATATACTACTTAATTACTATGAACTAAAAAAATATTCTAAATTCACTTGGCATTGTTTGTTTGTATATTCCGGTTGATATTTAGGATTGCAATTGATCAATCTCTTATTGACAATATGTGCATACTGTGTGTATTGCCTCGATATAGCCTTAATTCACAATCCTTATATGCAAAGATGGATAGTAGCTGGCAGTAGAATGCAGGACGTGCGTTTCTCCCTATTTGGGACTCGTCAGCTGGATGTACCTCTACCTCAGAATTGATGTTCACTCTGGGGCTCGAACTCATTACCGTTCTCTTCAAACGTCATCGCGTTATCCACTTAGAACGAAACGCATGTCCTGGATTCCACTGCTAGCCATTATCCATCTTTGCATAAAAAAAATATTCTGTTTATTTCAAAAATGAGATTTGAAAAGCTGATAAGGATTTAGAGAGGATTGGAAAAAAATAACTGTTCAGTCATATTTATAAGCTTTAATAAATTAACCGTTGTATTTTTATATTATAAAAGTTTTTCTTTCATCATTTAATCATGTATTCCCTAACAACTAGCTGTTAGATAACCTCCAGAAATTCCTGTAATAATTCATTATTGAAACTAATAACATCAGGAGTTAGGCTATTATTACCAATGACATTCAATGATAATTTTGCTATTTCATAAATGTATTTACCATGAAACGTATAGATCGATAGGTTTTATCTTGATTATCTGAAAGTTCTAGGTAGGCAATGAACAACTTTCATCAATTTTCATTGATACCCAACTGTCTTTTAATTTCGCCAATAAGGATAGTTTTACTCCATCATTTTCAATTTTTCTACTTAATTAAATTATGATAATTGTCTAATGGTTCTTAGTTTTCAAGAAGTCCCACGAAGATATATATATATATATATATATATGAGTCAGGTAGCTTGCACCCAATAACATGACTCGAAACAACAATCAATGGTTTCATGAAAAAGTGTGTTTGAGATTTCTGTTTTCTTCATTGCTTTTCATGTGTACCATAAACAACAAATAATAAATGAAATATTAGAAAGGGTTTCGTGAAGATTGTAGTAACTTCAGTAGTTGAGATCATGTGTCGATTGGAGCTATGGAGTCCCACAATAGGACGAAACAGCCGTCCACTGTATCTAGGTTCCCCATGGCGGTCTAGCTTCGATTGACTCATGATCTCAACTATTGAAACATGAAATATTGCCGAAAAGTCATTCTATGAAAATTCTTACATGTTAGCTACAAACATTTTCATCACTGTAGTGTGTCGCATTTTATTTCATTCAACTGTATAAAACTCGTAATTCATTTTCTTGAACAGAAATTCATAATAGTTTGTAAAAAAAATAGAACATACATGCCACATTTTCCTCCTATTACCTTCTATTCCAACTGTATAAACATTCAAGGTATTCGTTCAATGCTGATTTACACCAATAGTTCTTTTAAAATATTTTTAGTTTGTCTTATTTTACCAAAAAAAAAGAGAAAGAAGAGAAAAGAAAAGAAGAAAAGAATATAAATACCGCTAACATTTGTTTGTAAAATGAAAGACAAAAAATAATTCAAGATGACTTCATATTATTGGAAGAAATTCTGTGTCTCTTATTGATTAACTGACATCCATTAGACTTCAACATTGTAACTAGTAGTAGTGTGGTGTGTGCTACTGATATCGACAGATATAAATAGTATATATCATCAATCGAAAATGAAATGTCTGACGGTAGAAGGTTCAGAAAATCGAAGAGAAGCGAATGAGAGCAGAGAGTGAGTGGTATAGAAATGAAGAAACCCTAAAGTCTGGTACAAGTTACGGATATTTTGTAAATGAAGTGTTTATTGTATAATTCTTAGATTTTGCGAAGATATTCTGTAACGTTGCATTAAAATATATTTGGTTGTTCTCAGTGTTGTTCTCGTTCACTACAGTAGTAGTAGTAGTAGTAGTATGATGCTTTTCGACAGAGTTTTGTTCTCTGAGCTGAATGGTTTGGTCGTGGAGCTTTCGTCATTCTTCTGAACGACATCATCAGCACACTTCACTTCTACCTGAAGTTTGTGCTGATGATGTCATTCAGAAGAATGATGAAAGCTCCACGACCAAACCATCCGAATCAGAGAACAATACTCCTTCAAAATCATTCACCTAAGCTACAAATCTCCTCCACCATCTCTGTATGATGCTTACAAATAAAGTGTCAAGAATGCTAATTTGGAAATCACTTCGTTGTTCTCATGAATATATTATGGATGAGTTGTTAAATGTTTTAACAATTCCTTATGAACTTCATATTTCTTACATCATAACATTCAATATGAGTTTAGGTTTATAATTATATAGATTTTATTAAGGATTGATATGTGTATTAAGTTAGTCCTTATTGATATACAAGATTAAAACGGTAACATATTTGATCTACTCAAGTGATATGTCTGTTAGGATTTTTTCTCTCTTTAAACTCATCTTCAGATTTATTCTTAACTAAAAGTTATTTTTTTAAAGTACAGATTGTGACATTTTTAAGTTGATTCACACAGTTAAAGAATACGTCTCTTTGTCACTATTATTATTATTCTAAATATGGACATGATGTTGATTTATGAACAAAGAAGACCATTTTTTTCATTTAGTAACTTAGATCATTTTTAACAAAACTACATTTTTATTTGTTTAGTTTCACAACCTAAGCGCGGTAACCATAGTTACAAAAGTTTAAATTTCTAGTACTTTAAGTTTGAAAATAAGAAGGTAGGAAAGAGAATGTAGTTAAGTATAATCGTGATGATGGAAGATTAATATACTGTATTCAATCGATGCTAAGAAAAAGTGTAAGACAGAAATGAAGTAGTTTCTTTTTCGTACAAGAAATAATGATCATGTAAATTTAAAGAAAAATAACTATCTGTAAACATCTAACCATAATGTAAACAATTTGAATGAATGAGCTTAACACTATGGATGTTTAAAGTAATAATCGTTTTGTTCTGATAAGAGCTTCCAAAGCGGTGAATATATACGACTCTACCAAGAACTAAATCCAAGTTGAGTTGGAAACTTGAAGATCCAAGATTTAAGCTCTAGTAAGTTCATGAATGTGCACTATTAATAAGTTCAATAGTTGAATGAAATAGTTGTTCAGTGAAACATGGTCTCAATGTTTCTTCAATTGGTCTCAATCTGTGATGAACGTAAACTTCTTAAATAATGGTTATTACGTAGTAGCTTTGAATCAATTTTAAATTCTGTCCATCTGTTAGTATTCTTCTCGTTATTTAATTCATTTTTATATTACAGCATCTAATCCATGTTTACATCATAAATGTCGATGGCAAGGTGAAAAATGTCAAGTTGATATAAATGGTCAAGCTAAATGTATATGTCCAGAACCTTGTCCATCGATTGTATCTCCAGTCTGTGGTAGTGATGGAGTAACTTATGATAGTACATGCCATTTAGAAAGAACAGCATGTCAAAAAATGAGAGAAATTCGTGTAATTTATTCAGGAGAATGCAGTAAGTAGTTATTTTTTATTAGAAATTTATAAACAATAACTTAAAAACAGATTACATGAATCGAACTCATTACTATGTTTTTCATAAAACTGAAGTAGCGACAGATTTTTGAGCTAAACAATCATCCACAGATATATCATCTGTCTTCCTTCCAATACTTACGAATTCAACCCAAAAAAAACACTCAACGTCATTAAACAGAGGAACAATCTTCTGTATTCACGGTGTTATCTGAATGCTTACTCAATATCTCTAAAACGTTTTTTTACTGGGAACATTTTCATGACCAAATAAAAAAACCCACCATTGATCAATTACATTTTAAATGGATGCTAATAACTGGAGTAATATTTTCATTTACTGTTGAATATAAGAACCTTTTTTACAATTTTGAATATCCAAGAGAATAGACCCTTAAAAAAGTATATTTTTGTATTACAGTAACAACTTATTAGTTTGGAAATTTCGATGCAAAATAAATCTTCACTCTCAATTACTAAATCCCAGTGTTCTTAATATAAACTATGTATTCAACTAACTAAAACTATGTTACACAGATTGAAATCATGAGTCAATTGAAGCTAGATCACCATGGAAGACCTGGAACCACTGGACGGTCGTTTCGTCCTATGATGGGACCCCTCAGCAGTACGCATCCACGATCCCGCACCCCGCGAGACTCGAACCCTGGACCTACCAGTCCCGCGCCAGGCGCTTAACCAATTAGACCACTGAACCGGCATCCACCGGTGTTAATGTCTAACTTCAACCAATCCACGAAGTTGCGCCACCGTATACCATTGTCTTCAGTGAACTGATATCTCACAACAGACCTGGTTGAACTATATTACACTGAAATTTATTACATATTTTCATTCCATTTTTATACAATAGAATACATCGTACAATGTAATACCATCAAACTCATGTTACTAGGAACGTTTTACACAGCTCTTTTTAAATATAAAGTCTCAGGTTTAAAGTTTTTTCAACGTATCATTCGACTTAAGCTTCGGACTATTAAATAGTAGATAATTACAACATCGAATTGGATGTAAACAACGAAACTTCGGGTCTTAAAGTTACCTCAATACCGTCGAGATCTTGAGTTACAATCAAAAAGTCTTATTATTTTTGGAGTTCTTCAATGATTATCAGAAAGAGTGTTTTCATGATACCATACATTCTTATAAACTGCAGAAGTAATTGATATATTCGAATGGTTGATTAACTTACAGAATTCTGAATGAAAAGTCATTACAAAATAGAATGAATATATAACCAAGGTAGTATGATGATTAGTTATTAACTAAATAATAGACATATATTAAAGAATAAAAATGTAAATCACAATATAACTTACGACTCTGAAATGCCAGTTGTTAAATATTAAATTTATTTTACATCATATAGTGAAGTTAGTTAATCCATACATAATTACTGTTTATTGATGAATATTATCGAATAAATAAAATTCATAGAACCCTCGAACTTTAATTAGAATGGATTTTGCAAATGGATATATTTCGTTACATTTCATAGTACATAGTTAAAAAAGTAGATTGTTGAAAACTGTGTCGAATATGAGGAAGGTACCTACTGAAAACAATGGAAGATGTTCGCTTACAGTCGTAGACTGATTAAAGTTAAACTTGTACACTATTCGATCCCGGCTCAGTAGTCTAGAGTTTAAATGTTCACGAGCGAGACCAAACATCTTGGTTTCGGTGCCTGCCTGTAGAATTGTGGATGTTCGCTCCTGAGGAGTTCTATACTAGGACGGAACGGCCGTCCAGTCTCTCCACGTTTTCGATGGCAGTCTAATTTAGATTTGTTCATGATTTACCTAAAACTAGATGATTTGGGTTTTGTAAATATCAACACTAATTTAAACGTTTAATAAACATTCTGTTTGATTATTTTAATCGGTATAGACGCATTTTACCTTGTTAACAGTCAACTCGGTTAAACAACTATGGCATTCAAACAATAAATAGGTATAAATTGATGAGTATTCCAAAGATATCTATCCTTTTTTATTGATCTTTCAAGGTAAGCCAAATGATTGTAAGCTGCTTAATCAACCATGCCAAGGATATGAAATATGTTCTCGCATTAAAAATCCAATGGTTTACACTTCGACCAACGGTAAATTGGATGCATCCGTTTATGACCTTTCAAATTCTTTTGACGATACAATTCCACAGTGTATATGCCCTACATGCCCAGAATATGGTCTAGGTGGGCATGTATGTGGATCAGATGGGCAAACATATCGTAGTGAATGTCATTTACGATCAAGCGCTTGTCAACGACATTCCACAGACTTAACTGTTAAATCAAGAGGGAAATGTGGTAAGTAATAATCATTTTGAGTATGTTGAGAGGTTTCGGTGCTAACTAGAATATACGCTGAATACCTCATTGGGCACCCGCTATTTCGATGTAAATATGATCTTATATCGATAAAAACTAGCGACAACTCCCTAAAAGTCATTAATTCAATTACAATGTGCCTCTAAAATGATTACTTGCGAAATTGGTGATGCTTGTTACTTGGCACTTATTTTCCTGAATATGTCTATTGATCTTATACACGACAATATTAAAGCATACGACTAAGTAGATGATCTGTTTAGCTTAGCAAAGAAACAATATAAAAGTAACGAATATAACGGATTTTAAATCATTAATTAGGTTTCTGTAATAATTTAGTTCAAGTGTCATACACTTCTCGTTTCGTATACTTTTAATGCTAGGAATTATCTTCTATAAAACTTTATTGTCTTGAAATGAGCTTTGAAAGAGAAAACTCATTATCGATTCCTAGTGTTTGTACATCATAAAGTCATTAGTTTTATGATGCAGACATGTGAACTGAAGAATTTCAAACTATTGCATTTAGACTAAGTTGTTTTTAGTGTAGTACAATCATGAAATTCTTTGAAGCATTCTATGTTTAATATACATTCAACACTACTTAGTACTACCAAAAGTTTAAATTCATAAACATTGAACGAACACACTTGTTGAAGGTAACATTTGATTGGAATAAGACTGAGTATTGTGATGGTGAATGTTAAAATATTGAACAGTGTGCAATATTTTTGGCATTTTACAAAGTTATACAGTCTTTTTTCGTTCAATTTTAATCTAACTACCTATGGGGACATTAATCCATAAAAATATGTGATAAAATGTTTTGCACAGGAGGTTGACAAAGATCATCTAACTTGTAGTTTGTGTCTCTGAATGAATTTACCCTAGTAAATACTGAAAACTAGAAAGCACTTGACAGTTGTTTCATCCTAGTATATAACTTCTTAACAGATCCTAAAGATTTAAATGTTTAGAAATGACTACGAGATCTGGTATAGTTCTGAATTCGAACAGCACAAATAACTTCTACTAAATTTATGATTAAGTGTACGTACTAACTAATATCTACAAAGATAAATTCATTATAGTTGAATAGTAAGTTCTACCGGATTAAAAAGGTTCCAATATATTTTAATCGACATTACTTACATACTTACGCCTGTTACTCCTAATGGAGCATAGGCCGCCGACCAGCATTCTCCAACTCACTCTGTCCTAGGCCTTCTTTAATCGACATAGTTGAATTAAAATAATTAACTTCAACCAATAAAATAGTTATTTCATTGGTTGAGATCATGAGTCAGTTGAAGCTAGATCACTATGGAAAACCTTAAACCACTGGACAGCCATTTCGTCCTATTGTGGGACTTCTCAGTAGTGAGCATTCATGACCACGCCTCGCGAGATTCAAATCCACGACCTATCAATCACGTGCTCGAGCGCTTAACCACTAGACCATTGAGCTAGCTGGTACCTAACAGTGTTACGGTTTAATTTCAACTAATCCCCGAAATTGAGCGACATAAATCTATCTAGTTACATTGAATAAATCAATAATTCTGATAATTGGAAGAGAAAAAAAGTGATAAACTAACTCTAATGATAAATTAGTAATAAAAATCAGTCAATATAATACAATAAGTACTACTTCATATTTGTTTACTTCATGGAACAAATAATAAAAACATCGTAATGTTGGAAAACCCGTAAACGACAATAGTAATTAAAAGTTAATAGACAAGTAACTATTAAAACACATCGCTTTTTTTCTTGTTTTAATTTTAGGCTGAGATATAATAATAAGCTTGAAATTCGGTAACTTTTAATTGACACTCTATTCTGTTAAACAATGATTACATATAGAGTAGTAATAAGTTGAATCGTATCAAAGTTAGACAAATATATTAGGTAAATAAGTTAAACAGTTGAGTGTACTCAATTGATCAATATTGTTATCTATGAAATATCTTCTTTAGATTAAAATGTTGATAAAGTCCATAGATGAGTGAGATATAAAGTGACTAGATGAAACGTATCCAGACTTTAAAACTCAGCTAGTCAGTAACAACATAGAAATTCGTACTTACTTACATCAGTTCGAGTTGGTATACCACATTAGCACAGAGATATAATTGTCGATTTTAAATCTTATAGTGGTAGAGGTAGTAAAAGTATAAGCAGTAATCGGAAACATTAGGGTTTGAAGATGTTAGTCACAGAGTATAATCCAGTGAAATAAATTTGGTAACAGAAAAAAAGGGACATGAAGAAGACTTGTTCACTAGAAAGATAACTATTGTAAAGTTGTTTTGTCATGAATGGAAAAACATTTCCTCAATAGTTCCCACGCTTGATTTGATAAGGAATGAAACCTTAAACACTTGATTTATGTGCTACAAAATGTTGTTCCGTCAGTGACTTTAATAAGTTCTTATTGTAAATGCTGAATAGTTCATTCCTAAGTGTTTGTCATCTACAGCGATTCATGACTTTCAACATCACTGGCTTTAAATCTATGACTCACAGTTTAGAACTTTTGAATATTTTCTTTGAATGTCATGTTTTCTATCTGGTGTACCCTTGACTAAGAAAGAAAAACACAATATTCTATTATTTTAAACTAAATGCATCTACAAATTTATCAACTGAATACTGTGAGCATCTTTTAGCTTCATGTTATCTTATTTTTCCGAATAGTAACATTTTGTTTAACTCAATAACCTCTTTTTTAGATGCATGTCAAACCAAACAATGTAAATATTATGCAATATGTCGATTAAGTGCATTCGGTGAACCACAATGTATATGTCCAACAGATTGTCTTTATGTAAGTTCCTATTTAATATTTCATTGTATGCTATTCTAATTTTCTGATGATTTGATAAAATTAAAATTAGCCGCTTACAGTTTAATATTCTATTGACTGAACTAAAAGACTCACTAATAGTTAAGTTTTTATTCATTTATGCAGTTTTGTAATCAATGAACTCAGTAGTCAACAAGGAATGTTTGCCCACTTATGTTTAATGTTATTATGATAGGAACATTCAAACAAACAATACAAAATGAATTTAAACTTCACCCCATTCCACAAGCAAGTGGCTATCAGGACTTAATAGCTAAGTGGATAACGTGGTGACGTTTGAAGCGAAAAGTACTGGGTTTGAGTCCCGTAGTAAACATCAACTCTGGGATGCAGGTACATCTAGCCCATGAGTCTCAAATAGGACGAAACGCGCATCCAGTATTCCAGTGCTAGCCACCATTCATCTTTGCTTTAATATGATCTATCCAAATCAGATATTTAGGGGAAGTAATCGACCGTAAAATGTAAAGTAATATTGATCGATGAAAGATTTTAACACAGACCCACGACAATAATGATAGTTATACTGTAATTTATACATCTAGAAACGATTGTCTCATCAAGTAGTAAACAAAGTTATGTTTGTCGTATTGTTGATGCTGACCTGATTTTATCGATCCCTTTAGGCTCCAGATGTCCATTGTTGATGAGTCACATCCTTCAGATTACATCTAACCATCTAGCATAATGGTAATATCGATCCAGATTACAATTTTTGTTAGACTAATAGTCAACAACAGTAAAGTAAAACATCTTTGTTTAAATAATTGAATATTTCAACCTACGAAGTATCCCTGTTTGATAACTCATTTTCTAATTTACGATTATTTGTTAACTATTAAAAGCAGTCTCTACTACATATATCTTGCTCTAAATGAAAACACCATATAGGTATATCGGTATGGTGATATGCATTATTGTTTCTACCCAAACATCTGAACAAAGATTTATCAGACAGTATATGTCTAGTCGATTTGACCAAGTGTAAATTTAGAAATTAGATTTAGGGGTTTCATCACGAACTGACATAAGCTAAAATGCCGAGACGCTACTTAGCCAAATGAATGAATGAATTTTGCACCAAAATCCAAGACCTGTTATCGTAAATCTGATTGGTTCGTCCATAAATTATAGATTCGCTACAAAATACATAATCATAAGTGATAGTAATTTAGAGTACTGAATTATTATCAGAATATGAGCAATCATAGTTAAAAATCTTTTAAACACAATGTTTTCCTTAATGGTCAGTGTAAAATATACATAAATACGCTAAGAAACTGACATAACGACAATATCATCAGTGTTTTCGAATGATATGCAACGTCTAGGAACCAGTATTTTTTTAGTAAAAGTGCTGCAATATCGTATTTTTTGAATAGATAACGCACAGAATAGTGGTTGCAGTCCCTTTACAGAATACTTATAATCATCCACAACTAATAAAAAAACACCACATAATAATTTATATGGCCATACTTTTTCAACAGATATCTATCATTATTTAGGTCAGAAAGCCAGTGTGTGGAACTGATGGTGAAAATTATGAAAATGAATGTTTGCTGAAGGTGAAATCATGCGCTGACCAACGTGAAGTTCATGTTGCTCAAGAAGGATACTGTCGTAAGTGTCTATACTGTAATAACCTTACGAATTAAGATGAGGATTATTTGACTGTTTGAATTATCCATCTCCTACACCTTTTATTAAGCAGTGAAATAGATTTTTTTATTGATTTGAGAACAAACATTGTTAAATAGCTAAATAATCAGTAGTCTACTATAACTTTTGCTAGGTAGAGGGAGCCGGTAGAAATTGTTGACTAGTATTTTATGATTAATATCCTTCTTCAATAAGGTATATCTTCTATCTTAGAGTAAATGGTGCTCTTTTAAAGACTTAAACCCACAGCAGTCAACTCCAGTAATACAGTGATTTAATTATTGAATGTGTATGGACAACAATCAGTTAACCAGTTGCTTTAATGAATTTATATCTATGGTTAAGATCATGATTCAGTTGAAGCTAGATCACTATGGAAAACCTTAAACCACTGGACAGCCATTTCGTCCTATTGTGGGACTTCTCAGCAGTGCGCGTACACGATCACTCCTCGCGAGACTCAAACCCACGACCTATCAATCACGTGCTCGAGCACTTAACCACTAGACCATTGAGCTAGTCGGCATCCAACAGTGTTAATGTCTAACTTCAACTAATCCACGAAATTGAGCGACACACCCACCACTGTTGTCAGTGAGTAACTATCTCGTAACAGACCTGGTTGAACTCCACTGGTCACTACTTCACACTAGAACTCCAGAATATACCTCTTGAAGCCAGTCACTGGCGAGCATATGCCATAATATCCACAAAAACCAATCTGATATTAATCAACATATGCTCAGTGGTCTAGTGGCTAAGTGCTTGAGCGCGAAACCATTAGGTCCTGGGTTCGATTTAGTCATACTTGTCATTAGCGTGTTTCTGTTACGTAACCACCTGTGTCTACCTTCTTAGTTTTGTTACTACCAATGTTTTTGAATGTTCTTCTACATGTACGATAATATATTTGATTATTTTCTTTAGTCTTTTAAATTTATCTATGACGTTAAAATGCGTTCAGGACAATTTTTATGCAAATACGTTTGTGTTTTCTTTAAACCCACTTCGTAATTTTGATTAAATATTACTGATTGTAAGCAGCGAATGAGAACCTAACTAAATAAAATAAATCTATGTTATTTCCACTGTTGAAATCAGGAGTTGATCTAAGAGGGACTAATATTGAAAACCTGGAAGAACTGGACAAGCGTTTCGTTCCAGTTTGGGACTTAGTCCACTGCTTCCAAGTTTTCAATGATGATCTAGATTAGATCGATTCGCTGTTTCAACTTTGAAAAATATTGCAATCGCCACAAAAACCCATACTAATAATTCATATTATTTCACACATAACTTTTTGTTATTACTTTCTTCGAAATAATGAAGAGAACTATGTGTATGCAGAACAAGTATTATTATTATTATTGTTATTAGGTAACATCAGATCTCAAGTCAGTCATTCTTTAGAATAGTTAATAGATTATTTATCATTAATTGGCTAGTATTATGTCGTAATGGGTTGTTTGCGGTTGACAAAGTTGATGGTTTATATTATCCTTTGATCATTGATTACTCTTTTGAAATTAAAATGTATTAAATTTCGTTGCAAGCAAACCTGTTAAAATGTATTTCTCAATTTGCCCAGATAAACGTGACATAATCATACGGTATACTCTGAGTGAGATCAGCCTAGAATAAAACTCATCCAAATAGCTTCTCTCTATATGAGTGTCATAGAAAATGTGTTCTCGGTACAAGTGTACATGTCTCATGTTTATCTAACAGTAACAGAACAATTTATTACATCAGACTGAATAAATATTCTCTATGTACTGCTCTTCTTATACTCTTATGAATGTATAATGCAATCAAATAAATACTCAAAAGTTTAGAGATTTAGGATGCACAGTGATATGGTGAGCCAATTAGAAGTAGCCAACCCATCATAGCATATAGCCCATCTCAGTGTGAGACTACTTATCTATTACTCAGTGAATGTTACGCCATTGAGTTAGAATTGATTAAAGTAAAGATATGAGTATACGGATTACACTCTCATTATTCAGTGAAATAACTTGTTCCATAAGCATACATATACTAAGTATCCGACTAAATGGTAATGGTATGTATTCATTTTCATGTAATATCTGTGATTATTACATCTGTTCAGAAATTGTTAATTGTTGTTTTGTACAAAAAGACTTCATCAGATTCCCTCTGTATTTCAAAACAATTAACTAGGTCCATGTACAGCTGGTTGTCCACTAGGTTTTCAGTGTCGTAATGGTCAATGTGTATGTCGAGATACATGTCCACCAAAGCATCCAACTGAACTTGATGTATGCGGTACAGATGGAAAATTATATTCAAGTGAATGTGAACTTAAACGTCAAGCTTGTATTCAACAAACTAATATAGATGTAGATCTAGCTGGTGTCAGATGTCGAAGTAAAAATCCAACTGCTCTACAAGATACAAATATGAAAACGTCAGGTAACATACAAGCAGGTATGGAATCTAATTACATTTGTAGTTTGAATTATTTCTATTGCTACATATATATAGGCTTATCTCAGAAAATATTACAGTTATACTGTGTAAATTGTAATTATGTTGTTTGTAGAAACTTCAATGCATGTACATACATAGATTGTAAGCAAAAGCTTGATAAATTGTATTATGAATAATGTGGTCTCAATATTGATGTTCTTTCATGTCTTAGTCAAGTTCGTAGTGTTCTTAAATAATGTTATTCCCATCTAAATATGTCAGGTTAAAATGTATGTTGTTACATTTTCAAACCACAAACATGGCTGAACGCCTTATTTTTCAGTTTACCCTATCTGTTTTCATGATAAAAACTAACATCGATACATCTTTGCAGAGATAATAGGTGATTTCCAAAGAACAGGGAGATATGAATATGTGTTTGTATGTAGCTGATAAATGATACTAGAAATGTATTTCACTCACTTTATTGTCTGAATAAAATGTCTCCAAAGGACGATAGAAGCATTACTCAAAAGTAATCAAACCAATGTTTATGAACTTCATTACAGGTGATCTTGAGCTGTCAACATATTCACCGAAATTCAGTAAAACTGTTTTCAAATCACTTCAGTTGATCAGTCATTTAAATAGCTAACTCTAAGAAGCTTTGAATCTCCTATGAATAATTACTTTCTTACAAATTTTGGAGATAGTTGATTCTGCAGCTAATTAGTCTGTAGATAATACTGTCATTAATTTCTATGATCCGTTACAAAACTAACCATAAATATAATTGTATGGTGTTCACTTGTAACTGACTTTAAGATAGGTCTGCCTATATTTTTATGGAAACCTGGAAATTTGAAGGTAAACAAGTCGAAAACAAGGCTGTAACCCACTGGAAACTTTGGTTGATCATCACATTCAATCATAAATAAATTGCAGTAGCAAATCTTGACCGCCAAATTTAGGTTCAATAGTTAGATGAGATCTTTTAGGATATGGGTTCGATTCAATACTGGATAGTGACCGAATACTTCTTAAAAATCTCAAGCAAGAATGAAACAGTTTTCAACTGTCCATTTGTTTCCGGTAGTTTCTAAAAGTGACTTCAGTTCGTGATACAAAAGTCACTTTTAGCTGAAAAGATAAAATTGTATTATTGATTGCTAACTAGAACATTCAATATATAGTCGTTTTCATACATATCCAATTTTCTACTCATTGGGATATTACAAATATATTATTTTTATTCATAACAATCAACCCAATGCTCAATTTGTTCGGAATTATCAAATCAAACCATTGGTAATGACACCTATAAAGAGGTAAACACAGTTTACTTTTAAGTGCAGTATCTAGAGGAATCTGATAAAAGTACATTAACAAACAGGGAAAACTGTTATCCAGAAATTCACTGAACTCCTCAGATTTACTAAGAAATCATAAAGCTTTATTTTTGATAGAACCAAATCAAGCAAACTTAGTTGGATATGCTCTGATCTTTCATATTTAATATTCATGTAAAAGTATACTAAATTTTACTCAGTAATAATCCCTTTCCATATAAAATGGTTTCCAGAACTAACAGTTATACTATTTCATAATATAAAATAAAATGATTGTTCAGTATGCTTTTAACTGGTAGTTTATAATAAATATATTTTTTCATTATATCCAACTGAATAGAAAAATTGTATTTCTGAAGTTTCGTAACTAGATGTAAGTCACTTCTTCAGAATAAATAAATAACTGAGTTAAATTAACACAAGTTTAAATAATAAAAATGAAACAATGTTTCTTTGAAGTCACAAAACATCAGAAATACAATTTTTCTATTCATTGGGATATCATAAATAGCATATTTATTATTAACTTGCTATCCAATGCTCAATTTATTTGAAACTAACAAGTTCAACCTTGGCATTTATGCCTATGTTCATCTATATTAACTCGACAACGAACTGTTATAATGATCTTTTCTTTTCAATAAAAGCATTTACATTTTAATTCAAAAGGGTATCTCAAAAAATTTTTTTTCTTTTCATATTAATAATTCAGATGGTGTAAGATTATCCAGTTGTACATGTAATAAACTTGGTGCACTTTCTGAAGAATGTGATTATTTAGGTAATTGTAGATGTAAATGGGGTGTTGGCGGTTTAAAATGTGATCAATGCCTTGCAAATTATTGGGGTATACAAAATAATCATGAATGTATACGTAAGTTTAAAATTAAACATAATTCATGTAATTTCAAAACTAGTTAAGATTCTATTATTTGTAAGATGATAGTCAAGGAGATAGTCAATAGGAAACCCTTAATCCAGGTTTCTTGCTATTTGGCACTCATCAGCAAGGTGTACCTGTATTCTTGAGGGAGATTCAGTTCCCTCAAGATTACAAGTAAACCTTGCTGAAGAGTATCAAGTAATTTGTATAGTTGCAAACAAATTAAATTCGAACTTGTTTATAACATTTAGTAGACAGTCTAAATTAATCAAAACTTTTAAATGTTACTTTAAAGAAGGAAACATATAAAAACCAGGTTTAAGTCCAAATTTAATAAAGAATAAATATATGAATTGAGAAAGTGTGAAAATCACTGAAGTAATTTAGTATGTTTTCTCAGGTCATAAGTTGGATAAAATGGTATTACATGGTTCTTTTGAAGGTGACTTAAGTAATCAGTTCAAATATTCATAAATTCTTTAGAAACTCACATAGATAGATTTGTTAGACAGTAACAATGTAAATAATTTCTAGTGGTTGTAAGTACTTAGTAACGTGCAACTCTTTTTATCATTGCATTAGGAAATCTAACTCATGGTTAATTGTTATACAGTAATCGACTGAAGAATATACCTCAAAGTAACTATTCTCAGTCATGTTAAGATACATTAACAATAGACCATAATACAGTGAATCGAATTTGTTTTCAATCTTAATAACTCGCCGCTGAATTGTATATAAACCTATTGATTTATTCATTTCATTTATTTTAATGAATGGTTTTGACCAAACAATTGGATGGGCATACATCTAAGTGAACTGTGTTCTTGGTTATTTGACCAGACTTAGTAAATTATTTAATTGATCAAATAAACATTCAGTCCTGCTTGAGTAAAGCTGAATTGTAGTTAGCAGTCGAATGCAATGTAGGTCTAATCAATTTGATGCATCTCTAACATATTGTTGATTTTCACACTGAAACTGGAGTTCAGTGGCCTTACTTTCAAATACGAACTTGTTACCTACTGAACTTCGGAGTTTATACAGCCACTAACTTGTTCAACGGGTATGCATTTATTTGTAATAGTATTTCCCCATTGTTCATGTCAAAGCCTACTTCGCATACATACAGACTGACCACTTGCAGTCCAACAATGGAAGAATACAAACACATACACACATGCATTTTGTTTATAAACTGACTCATGATCTCAACCATTGAAATTACTATAATATCCACAAAACCCATCTGATATTAATCAACATATGCTCACTAGTGACTGGCGTCAAGAGGTATATTCTGGAGTTCTAGTGAGAAGTAGTGAGCAATGGAGTTCAACATGGTCTGCTGTGAGATAATAACTCACTGAAGACAATGGTGGATGTGTCGCTCAATTTTGTGGATTAGTTGAAGTTAGACATTAACACAGTTGGATGCCGGCTAGCTCAGTGGTCTAATGGTTAACTGCTCGCGCGCGAAACCAGTTGGTCCTGGGTTCAAACCTCGCAGGGGGCGAGGTCGTGCATGCGCACTGCTGAGGAGTCCCACAACAGGATGAAACAGCAGTCAAGTGGTTCCAGGTTTTCCATGGTGATCTAGCTTCAACTGACTCATGATCTTAACCATTGAAATTTATAATCATATACATCCCAGTTATTCTAAAAAACATGAAATATAACGTTCCTACTTTTAATCCCAAAATTTATGTCAAAACAAGTATGAGCGATTCACATGATGTTTTCCTAATAATTTCGCCAGTCAAAATTAACTATTAAATTTATCTCAGTTTATATTAACTAGATTTGAAGAGTACGAAATTGTTAATTATGTATAAAATTCTTCACTGAAATTTACTTTTTTACATGTGTGTGTGTTTGTCTATTATTTTGATTTCTAAAGCATGTTCATGTCATCCACTTGGTTCAACTGAGACAACATGTAATCAAGCAACTGGTCAATGTAACTGTCGTACTGGTGTTGTTGGACGACAATGTTCAATGTGTCCAGATGGTAGTCAAGTGACAGAAAATGGTTGTAGTGTTAAAGGACAAAGTGAAGGTAACAAAAAAACTGACTATTCAAACTACTGTTACTCATGAAATTTAAAGATGACTGTTTAAATGTTTTCATTTATTACTGACTTCCTACTTTCAGTAGACTTTGAATTTAGGATGATAAAATTATTTTCATGTGACAACAGAGATATAATCTTTTTTAACAGTAGTTACTTCATGACATTAAGATAATACTAGTTTTATCAATTCCTTTTTACTGGTCCTGCTATGCATACCACTTCAATAAATCGTTGATTGACTGAATTTGGACATTTACTCCATAATCAGTTCGATCCCCTATGTCGGGAACGTATGTACTGGTTGCTGAGGCGTCCGATACCGGGACGAAACAATTATCCAGCACTTTGTAAGCAGGGATGTATGGTATTTAACAGTGGAATCCATAATGTGCGATTCGTCTATTTTGCTTGATAGCCACCATACATCTTTGCTTACAATGCTTATGACTTAAGGAAATATTGAGGCAATCCGTACAGGAGGCACATACGCCAATAATAGGCTGATCAATTACAGTCCTATCCGTCAATGGGAAGATTTTAATACCTAATACAAGATGGATTGCCCAGCAAAATTTTGGTTTTGAATTATTTTCAAACATGAATCGGTTCAATATTTATTGGTTAAAATAATAATCCTAAACCTTCGCTGCTTCCCTTACAAGCAGATATCAAGTTTGAAAATGATAAAGAACAACATTTACTACAGGCAACTGAATTAAATCAGACTAACACATTGATTTCCCAATTACCCGACAAACTAACCGCAGAAAATAACAACGAGGAGGATGGACGACTATTTACCGAAACAACTACACTTCTTGCTCGCATACCATTTCATATCGATCAACCAACCGAAATACAAATGATTTTAAGTTTAGATAAAGGTAATGGAATGCTTTTACATTATCGTGCACCTCCAAGTGAACAGGAACAAATGATTTTACGTGATAGACAAGATCATCAATTCAGTATGGCTATTTCTAACTGGAGAGTTGTGTTAAAGTAAGCTGGTTTATTTATATTTTATGCTTACACATGAACTATCTGATATTTCTCATACCTGATTCATTAGTTTAGAATTATAATATGATATTCCTAGGTTAGTTAATCAATTACATTAGGGTGATAAGTTTAGGTAAGGGTAAAACTTACTTCCTGGATAATGAAACTGACCATATGAACCTATCTGCTGTGAATGAATTCCTAAATACCACATTTATAAGGAAATCAATTTTCAAATTCACATTTTGATTCAAGATTAACTTTGACCATTGATTATCAATGGGTTCTCTTTAGTATCGATTTATTCAGTATGAGACCAGCTAAGTGAATTTAGGGCAATTTATTGTATTCAATAATTCAGTGTAATTCTGTGAAAAGGGATGATTATGTAGTTTGATGAATTTTGTCATAATTATTTATTGAATAATTTATATATGTTTGAACTAAATTTAGTTGAATTCAATGTAATTCTTCTGAGGATCATAGTCATTACATTTCTTTACAAGACTTCTCTCTCTTTCATCGGTGAAATGTCGTGTATTATCCTTTTTCTGGTGTGTGCTACTTGTATTGACATAAGTAGTATATAATGTTAGTCGTGTACAGAAGGTCTGGTAGCAGAGAAACAAAAGAATAGAACAGTAAAGAATGGAAACAGGATGCAATTTGTATGAAAATGCAAGAACAATGAAGTCTGGGTCATTTTGAGACAATTGGTGGAAATTTTGAAAATTAAGCATTTACTTTCTGATTGTTCGATTTTATTAAACAAGTCCTGTAATTTTGTGTTAAATACATTCGATTGTCCCCACTGATGTTCTTGTTCACTATATTTTAATTGTTCGTAATTCAGAAATGCTAAACCCAAACTCAATTCACAACAATATTAATGAATTAGATGATTATAGACTGATCTAATGTAACTTATAATATGCCTTAGAAGGTGAGTATTGGTGAGGATTCTCATATAAGGACGAAATAACTGTGTAGTGTTCATTCTTTCCATTGTTTGTCCAACTAAAGTATGAAGGTATGATACTCTCTGTAAATGGGACGAAATCCACGTCCTAGTTTCCACTGGTAGCCATATACCAAATATACTAATTCTAAACATTAAATTTTTAAAAAATATTTTATTCTTCAGTTATAAATTTTTTTTCTTTATCTATTCATTTTTTAGATATATTGATGGTGGTGTTCCAAATCGTATCCTACTTGTTTATAGTAAACATAATCTTACACGAAATACCAAGCATAACATTCAAACAGGTATTGTATCAGGTAGACCATGGATAAAAATTGATACGTTCAGCAGAACAACTAATCAAGATGTAATTGAAAAATGGGCTGATACTCATCAATCAGATAATCAACCTACAGTTGGTAGTCTTGAGACTATAGTAATTGGACGACAAATCAAAATAGGTAGTCGAAGGTAATAAATATTACTAAATAAATATGAAATAATAATTCACTTTCCATATCCTCACTGGCATTATCATCCCACTTTGATAGTTTTATTAATAAACGTTTTTTTCAAAATTAAAACAGTATGATGTGATCATGAAAGAATCTTCGACGAAAATCTTATCCAAAGTGAACTAAGGCTTAAAGTAACATGCCGAAAGTAAGAAGCACAATTGTTCGAATGTTAAAATTCAGTCATTTCACACTGGATTTCATTCTAAAGTATTATTCAAATGGAAATATCCTTGTGAGAAGACCTACCTAATATAGTTTAAACATATAGGTGGAATGTAAGTAGTATTTTTAGTAGAAAATCCATCAAGATATTAACCTCTGGATTGTAACTTAGTGAACTAAGGTTATTGTACTCTATTTGCAACTGGGTAGTTCTTGCTTCTATCCAGTATAAGGTTATGAATACTAAAAATGTTAACAATGGTTATTCAGCTGATCTCTATCTGAGATGAAAACTAAACTCAAATTGAGAAAGTCTTATGATACTATAGGGAATTTGTCTAGATTGTTAAATTTCATAGTTTACCTCATGGACGGAATCTAGTCAACAACTATTAAGAACAGTGGGCACTGAACAGTTTTTTCATCCTAGTATGGGGCGCCTAGAAAATCCCCACTTACAAACCCGCTAGAAAAGTGCTGAGAGATATAAAATACGGAGCAGTAGTTAAGTTGTACTTCAAATTTTACCAATAGTGTAAATTCTTGGTTCTACAATCAAGCTTACCTAAGATCTGTAAACAACGAAACAAGCACAACACCATACACTTGGGATCGAATCCAGGACATTTAGCTGTCGAGACGAGTGCTTAAAATTTATACTACTAAACCATAAACCTATGGTTTATATGTCTAGACATGGTGAAGTTGTGGATTAGCGACTCCGTAAATTCCCACAACAGGGCCAGATAGCTATCTATTATTTCCTAGTTTAAAATGGTTGTCTAACCGAAACCAGTCTTTGGTTTAAACTTTGAAATCTCAAGTTATTTTTTCATACACACAAGATACAAAGCTACTTCGAATTGCATTGTATCACAAAAGTTCTAATGTAACAACAAACAGATGGAAAAGAACTGGTTAAAAAAGATTAAATTTATTGTTTCATACACAATCGATAATAACAAACAGCATGACGATGATAGCTTTACATATATTGTAGTAAACAAGAACACTAGTGGGGACAATCGAATTTATTTGACACGTAACTACAGAGCGTCTCAATAAAATCCTAGAACCATATAGTAAATAGTTCATTTGTAAAATATCAATCCATCGTCTCAAACTTCACTGTTTCTTTTTGCAACTATCAGTCCGTTGTCTCAGATTTCATTGCTCATGCATTTTCATACCGATTACGTCTCGTCTCCGTTCTTTCTTTATCAATCTTCTTCTGAAATGAAACTCTATACTAAAACAAAATAGCTTTCCAATGCTTTCTAACATTTAATAGTTGCTTGTTTTAGGTGAAATATGATTTGTTTTTTGTCCTTTTTAAGGAATAAAAATTACAATAGTTGAAATCATGAATTAATTGAAGCTAGACCATTATGGAAAACGTGGAAGCACTGGACGGCCATTTCGTCCTATGCTCACTAGTGACTGGCGTCAAGAGGTATATTCCGGAGTTCTAGTGAGAAGGAGTGACCAGTGGAGTTCAACCGGGTCTGTTATGAGATAGTAACTCACTGATGACAATCATGGATGTGTCACTCAATTTCGTGGATTAGTTGAAGTTAAACCGTAACACTGTTGAATGCCGGCAAGCTCAGTGGTCTAGTAGTTAAGGGCTCGAACACGTAATTTATAGGTCGTGGGTTTGAATATTGCGAGGCGTGATCGTGAATGCTCACTACTGAGAAGTCCCACAATAGGACGAAATGACCGTCCAGTGGTTTTAGGTTTTCCATAGTGATCTAGCTTCAACTGAATCATGATCTCAACTATTGAAATTGCAACAATCTCCACAAAACCTCTTCTGATACGAATAGAAGTTACATAATAGTATATCTTATTTTATAAATATTTGTTTAATATAAATGACTATGAATAGATGTAACTAATCTATAGGAGTGATTTAAACAAAATGTAGAAAATTAAATTTGTTTTTAGTAGTTTTAGTCGTATTAAGAAGAAAAAAAGACAGACTGACTTCTTTCCGACATCATATAGAAAAGCCTTATAGAAATACTTCTGTATAGTTGGCGGGGGGGAAAGCATGTTATTTTCCCATCATTGATTGGAGATAATAATTTTTAAGAAAAAGTGAAATGACTACTGTTTACTATGAAGACTGTAAATAACACATAAATCAATGAGGTTTTATTTTAATAACTTTTGTTCATGATAAAATAATAGAGAAGCTATTGGTGTAGCAGTGCTTAAATAGATCCTAATTACTGGTCAAGACTATTATAGATCGTTGCTTCGACTTTCTGTCTCTTTAATTGTTTAAAGAAGTTGATAATAAAGATTTTGTGAGCCATCAAGAATTTCCTGCTAAGTTATTTGTACCTATCAAAACAATCTTGTTCATATTCAAATAAATGATATTCCGTTTGGATATTTCTTTAATGTTAAGATTAGAAAACCGATATTAAGTCTTTATAAATTCAATAGGCTTTCTAAATTCTCTATACTCTTACAAGTTTCACTAGTTCTGCAACAAAATACTCTTGACCCATAAAAATTCTTTCTCTTTTATTGGCTGAAAAGTGAACCCAAAATCATAAGATCATTTCCTGATTGTTGTTGCCTTTAAACCACAGTTTAGCTATATTCTTTGAGTCATCCTGGGTTGGAGAAACTACTTAGCTGTTCTAACTATGGTAATTAATTCAGCCTTTCAACTATTGATTTGTTTGGTTCAAATTCAAGTGCGATTATTCTTAAAAAGCTACTTTCCGTTTTATATGAATGATATCTATTAATTTACTCTATCTATTACGTAACTTCAATATGTTATGTTATTAACAAAGTGTTCTATTCGGGATAAATAATCTTTTAAGATTATACACTTATCTAAATAATTAAAATTTCTTTAAAAATATCAAGGTTAAGAATAGTCGGAAATGTCAGAATTTTTTTTCTCTTTTTCAACTCATATATTTCCTTTTTGTAAAAATTAAAATTGTGTTTATTCCGCCATCTAGTTGTATGTCTTACTTCAATCATTTTCGTTATTCTTTCCAATTTCCTAAAAATATTTACATTTCTATTGCGCTAATCATCTTTATTTGGTTGCCACGGTCACTGATGGTACGATTTGTTTATATAAATACTAATTTTATTCTCACTTTATATTAATTATGATCTGAGTATAAGAAATAAACAAGAAGTACTGATGGTTCAAAGCTAAGACGTTCCATATTGAAAGAATTATTTACTATTCACAATTCAGTCCAATGCAAAGAACTATTTCCTACTATGCATATACTTCTATTGTGTAGGATAGACAAATGTAGTTATCAGTTCTTTTCAAAAGTATCTGTTGCAATAAGTATGTTGCTCAATAATTAAAAATTGATCATGAGAAGAAAAAAACGGTGTTTATATATGTTTTTTCTCAAGTGAACGGTTCTTTCCAACTTTGTGTTTCTAAAAATGTACATAAAAATATATCAGAAGGGGTTTGTGGAGATTTTAGAAATTTTCACAGATTGAAATCATGAGTCAGCTGAAGCTAGACCATCATTGGAAACCTGGAAGCACTGGACGGCCGTTTCGTCCTAGTATGGGACTCCTCATCAGTGTAATCAAAACTATGTGATGACATATATTAGTGCAATACATTTCGAACAATCCGATCACACATATACTTGTTAATAACACTGATTTATAAATATAAAAGGTCAACTAGACTATAAATGAAAGGCAAAAAGAGAAATGGTGTGAAAACAATTTATAACTTAATCACTCTGACTAATAAGCTAAAATTACCATGGTAGGTTAAAGGTGAGAACAAACTGTTTTTGAATACACAGTGGGGGTTTGAATTTTCGTATGGCTAAGGCTTCAATAAACCTTAGTATACACCCTTTTACACTTTTGTATAAAAACACAAAAGCCGAGTTAAGATCTGTCTTATGACCTATTTCAATTATAATATTATGTATATATTTTATATTATAATATATGTTTGTCAATAGAGGAAGATGGGTTTTATCCTCTACTCTTATTGGGTCATTTGATTTTATTTGTTTCTGCAACCATTTAGGAACATGTTCACACACCCTAGTCTTGAGATCACAACTACACCTCCCTATGTATGTGTGATCACACCCACATTTAAATTGATAAACACAGTAGAATGTGACGCAATCGTTTTTATATCTTTTGGGTTTTCGATTAAGCATGAACCTTGTTCTTTCCTTGATAATGACCTTTGCTGCGTAATGCGTCTTATTAATGACCGATTTATACCTTGGTTTCAATAAAAGTCTATTTTAATATTTTCATAGATAAAAATCAGTCATTTCACAGGTTGGAATCATGAGTCGATTGAAGCTAGACCACCATGGAAAACCTGGAAGCACTGGACGGCCATTTCGTCCTAGTATGTGACTCCTCAGCAGTGCGCATCCACGATCCCGCACCACGCGGGTTTTCCATGGTGGTCTAGCTTCAGTCGACTCATGATTTCAACCTGTGAAATTTCTAAAACTCTCCACAAAACCCATTCTGATAAAAATCAGTCACTCATTTATAAATAAGTGAACCTAATTTGTTGTATATATGCATGTAAAGAAATGGAGTAATACATGCAATTTTTCAATCTGTTAATAATATCCTACTCTTATTTTTATGTAGTTTCAAGCATAATACCTAAGGGAAAATTAATTAGTTGAGTCATTAGAATCATAAACGTTATGTCAGTCTAGAATCAGTCAGTGAGAAATGAGTTATAAGTACATTTACGCTACCCGTACAAAGACAAAGAAACTAGATAAATAACCTTGTTGAAATACATGCAGATGATTAAAAGAAAATAACTATGTAAACTTTATTTCATCATCATTCGATTCGTAAACATCACTGATATACTTATGCCTGTTAGCCGTCATGGAAGAGCATAAACCGCTCACCAGCATTCAACATCCTACTATGTCCTAGGTAATCCTTTCTAGTTACTATTCATCATTTTCATGTCTGCTTCCAATTCTCGACTCAATGTGTCCTTCGGTCTTCTTTCCCTTCACGATTCCATGTTAGCACTTACCTCGTGATGTAGTCTGATGATTTCCATAATGTATGCCCTATACACTTCTGGCGTCTTTTCCTAATTTCCTCTTCAGTTGTACTCTTTTGACGATGATTGTTGTAGTTCTCGAAGTTTCAACTCCGGACAGTAGAACTGACTGTCTTGACGTAAGTATTGAACATTATGACTTTGATATTGGTTGACAGTTGTTTTGAGTCGCATACGTTCTTCAACTGTAGGAATACTGTCCTATCTTTGCCAATCCTCGCCTTCACTTCTGCATCACATCCTCATTCTCCATCGATAATGTCGCCGACCAGATACGTGAATCTTCCCACCTCTTCCAGAGATTCTCCATCAAGTGTGATTAGGTTGGTGTTCTCCGTGTTGTATTTGAGTGTGTTGCTTTCTCCCTTGTGTATGTTGAGGCATACTACTGCAGAGGCTGCTACTACACTAGTTGTCTCCATCTGAATTTGTTTGTGTGCATGGGATAGGAGGGCTAGGTCACCTGTGAAGTCTAAATCATCTAGTTGATTCCGAGTTGTCCATTGTATTGCGTGCTCCCCTTCAGATATTGAAGTCTTCATGATTCATTCAACCACCAGAAGGAAGAGAGAAGGAGTGGGCAGCCCTGTCTGACACCGGTTCTCACTTGGAATTCGTCAGTTATCTGTCCTCCATTCATGAACCTGCAGTTTATCCCATCGTATAAATTGCGTGTGATGATGATGACCTTCTCACGTATATCACAGTTTTGAGGAAGGCTCCATAATATTCTCTTAATTACACTGTCAAACGCTTTCTTATAGTCAAGGAAGTTTATGTATAGTGATGAATTGTGTTCAATTGATTGCTCAACAATAACACTAGATAACATTCATTATGATCCTGTCCTTCTTTGTTTTAAATGATGCTTTGACGATTATGGATCCGTGAGACTCCCATCCTGTGAGTGCTTTTCGTGCTTCTTTGGACAGAATCAGTGTAACCCCATGTGCGTGCGCAGCATTTCCTTCTTTGTGATCAGAGTACGGAAGCATCTCTCCCGAAATTATCCTTTTCTTCCCAGTTAGGTCCAATGTGTTTCACTTATTCCGAGCATCGCAGAATTTTATCTCCTCATTTCCGTAGCTATTTGATTAGTCCTCCTAGTCTGCTACATTGTCTGGATATTTCACCTAACTATATTAATTTTTGCTCTGGTTGTTAGAAAAGGCATTGTCCTTATGAATTTTGAAGAATCTCGACTTTCATCATGAGGCATTATAATGCTTCCGAAAGAAGATCCTTCAACTTGTAGGGAAGCGTTTAAATGGTTTAAATTGTTCATTCTGATTAACTTTTTTTCTTTAGCAAAATTGTCTACTGCGGAATAGGGTTGCAGATCCCATGCCTAACCCTCCTCCTTTATGTGGGCCTGGGACCCACAGTAACCCTAGAAGAGCTGCAGGCTGAATTTTTTATTAAACTGTATTTGTACTAAGGACTCCAATAAACCATTAAGTAGTACCATCTTTTTTCTTGTAATCTCGGTTGAAATAATCAAGAAAATGCATTTCAAATTATATTATGTTCACTTGATTTATTTGAGGCAAGCTAAATGAGTGGAAATATAAAATAACACATACTAAGTAACTTAGTGAATGAATGAATGAATGAATGCGTGAGTGAGTGAGTGAGTGAGCAAGTGACTGAAACCGTCACAAACGATAAAGTTGAATTTATATCGGAAAAAAAACTTAAATGAATGCTCCTGTTTCTATGACGAAATTATTTATATATTTAAAACTTAGTTTTATACGCTTACACTTTCCTTAGTTCTATTCTTATCAATATATGTACATATTTCAGTTATATAATATCTGTTATTAATTTTGTATGACAGTATTTCAGATGTGAAAGAACATACCGATATTCATGAAGATTATGGATTTTCTGGATGCTTAAATAAAATGATTATTAATGCTGGTTCACCAATGAAACAGTTTAGTTTAGATCTTTTGGAAGCTATAAATACAAAATTAGCTTGGTTAGGAATTGAACCTAACCCATCAACAGGTCACAGTGAAGCACCATTATGTTCATCATCAATTAAAGCATTATCATCAATTACAAATGATATATCTCATAGTGATACTATTGAAAATATTCCACCTTTACTACAATCAGATCAAGTTCAAAGACATGATAATGTAATTAATCAAAACGTTCATACATTATCTAATCACATTCAAACTAAAAAATGTGAAAATTATGGAATTGGATCAATTGGATCAGATGGAAAGTACACATGTATCTGTCAGCCTGGATGGCAAGGTGATGTCTGTGAACAAGGTAGGTATCTTTTTCGCTGGAACTGTTATTTAACATAAGTATGGAATGTGAATAATTGCATTCCGACTAGGCTGTCTCAAGGTAAAAAAACCATTTTCAGATGTGAAAATCAAGTATTCTTCTCCAAGAGAAATCAGTCAATCCGTTAATCTATAAGCTCTTTGATCGAATGCTTTTATTAAAGTCAGCGTTAAGATCTGAAAAAGCATGTACCTTGAAAAATGTCCCCTCTAAAACTCAAACACTGTAACTAATGGGTAAATACATACTATCGTATTCAATTGAACAAGAGATTAAGGCAATCTAACGAAGAACTTTTTGAAGTTTGAAGCGATTTGTTATGGATTTGGTTTTCGATGGGAATATATATATTTGATTAACGAGTTGCGAACACAAACAAATGACCGGTAATAGTGTTAGTCAAACACAAAGAGCAAAAGCTTAGATTATATAATGAGATGAAACCTATAAGAACAATGTGATATGTTAGAGCAATTCATTCGGAAGAAATTGACTACACACTAACATATTAAGATATTAATATGAGAAATTTGAAATTTGGACTACATGAATAGAAACATCTTAGCAATTAGAATATCACAGAAAAATAACTTCATTCACACTATTCTTGAGATAAAAAAAAATCAAATCAGAGAATGACAGAAGTGAGAACTGACCTAGAATACATAAGCTGGGGTTGAATATACATATAATTAAGGCTTCGATTAATCTAAGTATTCGTCTTAGACATGTGCTACGCAACACTACAAAGACTGTTTTTAGATTAGTACTTACTTACGCCTATTACCCCTCGTGGAGGAGTATAGGCCGCCCACCAGTTCTACTGCCTATTTTAACAGTTTTTTTTTTAATTCTGTTCATTACTTCAGTTACTAATATTGGTATTAGTCATGACCTATTTCTTTACTAATCCTTTAATCCTTTTTGAAATTTAATAGATGCTACTCAATTTTTGTCTTAATCTAGATAAATATAATTATTTTTTACACTTTTAGCGGTAACTATTATACCACAGTTTTCTGGAAATGGATTTATTCGTTTAGCTGGTCCAACGGGAAAACATGCAATAAAACGCAGAAAGTTACATATTGAATTAATTTTCTTAGTAACACAACCGTCAGGTGAGAAAATATATACATAATTCATTGTAAATTACCTATAGAAAAAACATGAAATAACTTCAGTTATATCATTGTTTTGAAGTCAAATTTACTACCATTACAATGATATTAGCCATCTTTATTTTAAGTCAGTGTTCGTTCTAGTATTTTCTTAATTGAATGATTTCATAATTATAGGCAGTTGTCATGACAAAATGTAACTTAAGAGCTTGAATATCCACTTGATGGTCTAATAATGAGACATTCTTCTATGAAGATTGAGGTAAATATGGTTCATTTCTGTTTGGATAATGAGTAAGTGGCATATCAAGACAATATAAATATCCATTTCTCCCTGTTTACAATGATTGTTCTATATTCGATCATTGATGAAATTATCAATGCGTAAAACCAGGAAATTCCATACCAGAACAATCAGATAGTCAATGCTACTTGGTTTGTTCACCAGAACCTTAACAGATGTCAATATTCGGAAAATTTAAGTATTAAGTAGCATCTTCCTAAACAACTTACCTTAATAAGGTTTGTATTATTTATTTATTTATTTTAACAAATAGATATTGGTACAAGGAGGCGCTAAATACATATGCGCCACACAAATCTCATTTGATATGTGTGAGGGCTGTGATACTTCCCGGGTGCCCAAACCGAAGCAGGTGGTTTGTATAATTATTGCCATTCAGCTACCTAAGCCTTCTATAGCAATTATCCTTATCAGAAACTAAATGGAGCACAAGGAAAAAAATCGTTTTGTTAAATGTCAAACGCATGCCGAACCGACTATGTTTATCTTAGACAACCAATCCGACTTTACAGTTTAAAATAATCCCTACTTTTTAAGGCCTTCCAACCAACCAACTAACCAAATCATTTGAGATAAGTTTTAAAAGAGATTCCTTAAGTGTTTTGATGAGGAAAATTTCTATTATAAACCTAGTTCTCAATAAACACAAATACTCACAGCTAGTATCGAAGACCAACCATAATTCTATTTGGACTGAATAAAGTCGGATAATTTTGATCACTGAATTTTTACTCATTATGAAACCTCGATTCATGAATTTCATCTTGGAAAAAGTTGTGAAAGTAATTTCAAACCACAAATTACTTACTGATTTGTTTACTTTAACTTTTAGCAGCTCTTCAGTATTACACCAAGCTTTACACGAAAAGTAACTTGTAAACAAGAGTTTTATTGTGTCCTCATAGTAATTCTTATAGATGATTCGATCCGTAGTGCCGGTTTCTATGTTAAGCCCATATAACTTATTCTAGCTTCTGAACAGGATAATTTATCCATTCTTCTTGAGTCACGTTTTGACCTTCTTCATTATTCACTTATCAACCATGACTTTTTATGTAAGCATATGTGTGTACACTTTTTATCCTATTCATCACATGTTTGTAGTTTATCTTTGTGTGACTATAAATATGGATTGACGCTTGACTAAATGGAGTTAGTTCACATGCCTTCTACGCTGCGCACCGCCTCGTTTCGCTCTCTCTTCTTTGCTTCCTTTACTACATCTCTCTGATTATCTGTTCCGATCAACGATTGTACAAAATACGTGTATTCAGAAATCCATTCTTGTATTTGACTAAGTCGATAATTATATACCACAGCAATCATTTATACGATCTAATTGAAGTCAGATCCTGAGCCCCACAAGTCACTTACAGATCGTTTTATCCCAATTAATTTTAAAACAGAATTGTTATTATTTTATGTGCTATCTAGTTCTTCTAGTCAACTTTGTGATTTTTTTAAAAAAATTTTTCCCAAGGTTTACTACTTTTAATTCCACCTAAATCTCCTCAACATGGTCCATTTATAGCAGTTTATTTAGATGAACAGAATTATTTAAATGTTGTCTGTCGAACTGGTACTGGTAAAGGAAAATTAGTCAATGAAAATATTATCCAATTAAGATATAATAAACCAGTATCATTAAATCAATGGAATACTTTAATTATTGATAAACTGCAAAAAGTGCTACGTGTTGAAATGAATGGGAATAGAAGACAACGTGTATCACTTGTGAGTACTTTTTCTTTATCTTAGAAAATAATATTAATAGTTTATTGAATCGTTTTATTTTTTGTATATTACTGTGTAGTTACATTGTTGTTACAGTGTAGTGAACGAATACATATGCGGGGACGATCGAAATGATTTCTGCATAAAATTACAGGATCTCTTGGTAAACCTATGAGAACCAATCACTGGACACTTCATTCGTAAAATTTCATTTGTGCTTTACATTCTATATGATTCTTCCAAGTCAAAATTTATTTCTATTTTCGCTTCTGTTTCCTCTTCAACTTGATCTCTTTAGCCTTATGCTGTCAGGGTTTTCAATTCCGATTGGTGTTATATACTACTTATGTCTGTCGATATAAGCAGCATACACCACAACAACAACCATTTTAATCATCTTCTTATATTCACTAAATCTAGTGTTATTGTTCGTATTAAGTAATCTAGTGTTATAATCATTCTATTACGTCATCTTGGTTACTTGTGTTCATAATAAATTATTTGAAAAGAGATCTCTTCGCTGAACTCTTTGTTTTTAATTTTATAACGAACTGACGAGTAATTTTAATAATGTCAGTAAACTTTGCACAGTTGTGCATACTCCTGAGTATATCAATCACATCAGTACTGTTGGACGAAATTCATGGAGCGATAAGCAAAGAAATGAAAACACAAACATCGAATACGATAGAAAACTGAATGCATATAGAGAAATGGTCAAAATTACGCAATGTGAAATATAAAATGAACACAAATTAAAATCACATCTAAGATTAGGAAGAAGAAGGTATTGCATTAATTCATTCCCTTAACAGAGGCGATTTTAGGACCATGTTCACAAAAGGGCCCTCACTTAAAGATTACCATTATTTTATAAATCCAGACAAGATGACATCTCATTATGAAAGACGACCTTGAATAAAGCTAAACTCTGCACTTATCATCTGATTGAATGTACCCTTCAGAAAAATATAATTGAATATGTAATTTTTCCGCACACTGGCTATTGTAGATTGAATTGAATAAGAAATTAATTTTCTCGCTTCCACGAAGATCGAAGTTTGACACTTTAATAAAGAATTTTCATTAAAAGTCAATATCTATTTTCCCAAAAGAAAGCGTATTATAAATCCTATGTAGCTATTTAACTGAAACTTAATTCAATGGTGAACACAAAGAAATTTCTCACAATCAAACTTTTGTCATTCCCCTCTGCATATATCTCTTGACTCAGTTTCGAACTATTCAGAAAACAAAAGAAAGTCAATCATTTATTGCCCGTTCCAGCCAATGATAATAAGTGAGACAATGCACATGTATAATTTTTTAACATGACCTTGAAAATCCACTTTTCAGGTTCCAAGTTAGGGAGATCAGATTCTAAAGATACGTGTGCAGTTTAAAAATCCAAAGTGTCAACTGCCATCAAACTTCTTTTTTTTTGAAAATCAGAAACCACCACACTAACTTTTAGAAAAAAATAATAAATCACCATTTTCTATTTGTCTGATTTGTATAATTTAGATCCCATCACAATTTATTCATCTACAAAATCAGCTTCTAAAAGAGGTATGTTACTAAACTCACTGTATTTTATATTATTAAATTAAATTATTCTCATATGAATTTTTTTGATCCTGACAGTATGTTGTAATGGGTACATGCAGTTTATCTTTCGATAAATGCTTTGTATTTATTAGGCTATATATATATAAAAATATTGGGTATATTGGCTATGAAACGTAAACCCATTTTCGTGAACACTCCCTTCACTGACTTTTTTCATAGAAGTTAAGAATTTACTTCTTCTAGTATTGAAATTTCTAAATTAGTTAATTTAAATTACGAAATGTTTATTCTTTCGCTGAACAACTTCCAGTTTAGAAAATGTAGAATCACTAAAAGAATATATTTAAACTATGAAATTCTTCTTTATCATTAGAAGGCTATCCTCAAAGTAGTTGGTTAATATTTTCATCTCAATAATGAATACAGACGTTGTTGCTCCATGTTACATTAGTTCTCCTAAGTCACATACTAGAATATTGTCATTTATATTTCTAAATATTAGATTGATACCAAATATCATTGATTTCGAAAAGCATAAATCGATTAACGTTTGTTTACATATTAGCCAGGTTTATAAATGAATATCACAATGGAACGACAAATAGTGCTTACTTTACAATATTTATAGTCTTGTGAATTACACTGTAATGAATATTTTAACACCTTATTACTGGTCACAGTTACGGTAGGAATGATGTAAGCGCTATAGAGGACTACCCAATATAAGCGAAATTATGTTATAAATTTCCGTACCAACCATAATCATATCCTATTATTAATATTATTCTTTTTTTTAACTTAATCTCTTTAGTTACAACAAAAACTTTATATTAATGAGGAAATGAGTTCTTGTAACTATTGTGTTTAATATAAGCAGAAATGCATGATGACTAACAATGGAATCCAGGACGCACGTTTCGTCCTATTCTGAGACTCATCAGTTGGATGTATCTGCATCACAGAGTTATTCACTCCAGGACTTGAACCTAGTACCGTCTGCTTCAAATCCGCACACGATGCACATATACCAATAAGAGACTAATCAATCTCAGTCTTAAACATGAATGAGAAGATTCAAATAATCACTTCATTTAATTATTATCTTCAATTTCTTTACCAAAAAAACTCAACAGCAGTGATAACCTATTTAATATTTAAATAATTCTTTCATCAGGTTCTACAACCATAAATCCAAATTATTAATCCATAAAATTGGCCAAATTTAAGGCAGAGTAAATCATTTGGAAATTGTAATATGTGAATTAAGAATCGTTGTTTGTCATTATAAAATCAAATCAGATCGTTAATGTTGAGATTGACTAATATGAAGTGTTAACTTGAATCAATTTATAAGTGAAATGAAATTGTGAGGTAAATGATCGGAATAAATATGGTCAACAAGGGGCGAGAGAGAAAATAATGAAATAAAAATCGGAAATTACGTAATATATAGAATAATATGAATTAGGTCAGCTATAGTAGATTTAGGGGGGGGATATTAAATAAATTCCTCGAAAAAAGGTTATCAAGTGTAAAGATAATAATAATAATAAGTTTGGGACATAAAATGAGCCACAACTGATTGATCACTGGGTGGCGATCAATTTCATGCTTGTCTAGTCCTTATTAGTGTAGATCGAATGCTATCGATCATGTTGCAATGTGGCCGCTAGTCTAGGTGACTCGACACTGCGGGCACTATATATTGAGATTAGATGGTGGTTGGAGGTAGTCAACAGGAAACCCTGGACCCGGGTCTTGTGCCACTTGGCACTCGTCAGCAAGGTGTGCCTGTGATTTTGAGGGAACTGGTGCTCTCTGGTGGATTCGATCTCGTGTCACCCAGCTTCAGTCAGAGACGTTACCACTGAGCTATCCGAGCCGTGATTGACCTCCTGTAGGAATGAGGTGTAATCACAATTGATTGTTCACTGGGTGGCGATCAATGTCATGCGTGTCTAGTCCTTATTAGTGCAGAGTCCAGGGTTTCCTATTGACTACCTCCAACCACCATCTAATCTCAACATAAAATGAACATTAACCAGATTACGTCACCATATTATAAAACTGATTATTAACTAGTTGGCCCCAAAGTTGACCACGGTAAAAGGAGTGGCTGAACATACTTCTTTTGGATGCAAAACTCTGGTTTCTTGATCCGAATAGCAATTGCTTCAGCCATCTATAGGATTCGCAATCTGACAGAATTCGGTAGAGTGCTGTTAACAACATAGATTATTGCAAAAGATTGCTCCATATTGGCTGTATGTCTTGTTTGAACTAGATGGGCTAAGATGGAGCTGTTAACAGTTTTGACTACACCTTTGCTTAACCTGAAAAGAATATTCTTCGTTCATACAATTGTGTTTTAATTGAATGGGAATTTTCCAACGATTAAATTCTTTCATCTTTTAAATATACATTAATATTTATTCTATTTTATATGATAATCAGTACTAAAATTGTCCTTAAGTTTATTCTTTTGTTTTTGGAATGAACTCATCGTTTATTTGTTCTAAATCGTTTTTTCCTTATCTTCTTTTCTTTCAAAATAAGATTCTCTTTCGTTTTAATTTGATTCGAATTCCAGTTCATTATAAAATTAATAATCAGTTTTTTTCATTTTGTTTTCTCCTTTTTTTTCTTTTTTTTGTTTTGTTGTCATCGTTAGTTAACTAATTTCGATTTATCTTCAAGTCCAATCTATCTTGGTGGATACAATTTTTATGATCAAACAACTTTAAATTATATACCGATTAGAAATGGTTTACATGGAACAATTCAAAGAGTTAGTTTAATTTAATTAATCGACTGTACATGATTATGATCAAATCAAGATCATCGAGGAATAACCTCTTTTGAAATTCAGAATATGTACTTTGTTCTTTTTTTTCTATTTTCAAGAATGTAAACACATCAGATCTATTCAGTATTAAATAAAGAGGATATATCAGTATAAGATTGTGGAGATTGTGGAGATTTGATTGAGATCATGAATTGATCAATGTTAGATCACTATTGAAACATCTGGAAGCATTGGAGGGCATTTCATCTAATCCTTAATAGTCTCCACAACTCTATACTGATAATTATCATGTTCTAACTGATGAATAGCTTCGAGAGGTGATTCTTAGAGTTTTAATGAAAAGCCATGATCAGTGGTGCAAATCTGTGCCAGGTATGAAACAGTTACCCACCGAAGACAATGGAAGATGATTGCGTAATATCGTGGATTAGTTGAAGTTAGACATTAACACCGTCGGATACTGGCTCAGTGGACTAGAGTTTAGGCGTTCGCGCGCGAGACCAAAGGCAATGGGTTTGAATCTCACATGCAAGATCGTGAATGAACACGGTTGAGGAACCACATACTAAAACGAAACAGCTGTCCAGTGCTTCCAGGTTTTCAATGATGATCTAATATTGATCGACTCATGATTTCAATCAAAAAAAGAGGATTTAGGTGACTCGAACTATTCTGAAAATTTAATAACTATGAATAAAATTACATCAAAGAGAAGAAAATCATGTGTGTACCAAACTTTCGAATTTTAATCGATATTATATTCCCACTAGTAAAATCTCTTTAAGGAGTAAAGTGAAAAATTTTATTAAAGTGATTAGTTTTCTTCAAATGCTAATTGACATATTACCAGAAGTTAAATTTTACTGGGCGAAAGTTTCAGTAGTAACTTAAATATTATCTCAAGCATAACACTGTCTCCTCATATCGATTGTACCACCATTAAAATCTCCTATTTTCTATCTTTTGATAAAAACAGACTGTTTAAAGGTAAATCATTTCATTTCACTAAAACAGTTATCGTTATAACAAGTAAATAGGTTTTACATGCTTATGTTTTTACTGAATATACTATACAGAAAGCAATTAAAGATTCACAATTGAAATATATGGTTCAGATAACTTACTAATGACGATACTACTGTTATCGTTTTATCTTCTAATAGATGATGACTTCATTCCTAGCAGCCATTAGAGTTTAAGAGCGATAAATACCAACAAGGTATTACTGAATATTTGAATTTTATGAAATTAAGTTTTAATAGGTTGTATACAGTAAAGTATTTTATCTAATTATTTATTAAGGAATAATCAAAGGATTTCTTCAGACAGTCAACTGACCAGGATATAGAGACGAATAAATCGAAAATAAGACAATCCCTGTTGACTGTTTGGGTAACACTAAAAAAAAACTGATCGATTTTAGTAATCACCATACTGAATGCTCTATAGAAGGTACGCTTATTCAGTGCATTAATAGCTTTGGATTGGTGAACAAAAGACTGGTAACCGCTCATCTAGGAAAAATAATAGTGAGGGAAAATTATATGAGAATCTTATTACTTTCGATTCATATTCCATCTAAAATATAACTCTAATAAGAAGTTTTTCCTTCCTTTTTATTTAAAGTATTCTCTCAACTGAATCACATCATCACCGACAGTGAGAGTAATCACCATTCTTATGCCATACAAATTCCTGAAAACATTGGGATTTCTAGTCATACAGCACTCATATAAGTAGTACTTATACTTACATTTCACCAACTTCTAGTTGGTCTTCAAATAAATATTCTACAAACTATGGTGCATTCTTTACAGGAGTTTCCATACAACTAGAAACAGATCCCAATACATACAATTATCTTCTTGTAACTAGGATCTCTACTTATAAACATCATGTACATTTAGATTAGATCAAATTAAGGTGATAGATTCCAGACTTTAAAGCCTATATAATTATTGGCTTAAAATGCAATTAAAATATCCATGGTCATCCTTTAAGGTAATCATTCTGATGAAGCTTAATCCAGCATATTTTAAGGATAAACTTGTTGTTGAACCTGTCTCATATCTTGTTTCTTTTAATATTTGTAGTTATTTTAAAATGCGAAGGAAATTTAGTATTCTTTTAAGTCCAAAAGGTATGGAAAATATGTCGAATTTTGTTGAAATCATGAATCAGCTAATGTTAGACCACTGGTAAGAATGTGAAATCACTGGATGGCCGTTTCATTCTAGTATGGAACTCCTTGGCAGTGCTCATCCACGATACCACACATGTAGCTCGAACCCAGAGCCTTCGATTTCACTCGAACTCTGCCAAGGAGTTCCATACTAGAATGAAATGGCCGTCCACTCATTCCACGTTCAACAATCTTCACAACCCCATACTAAAAACGTACTGATTTGTGTGCTGTATAGACTTATGTGGTTATCAGTCATTGTAATGAGTGAATTAGTGCGGTGATCAGTCTTGTCGTAAATCGTTGAGTGGGTTTATATTAGACCAAAAAATTAATGAGATGGGACACAAACTTGCAAGTAATCACAGGTATACAAACTGTACGTGTATAAAAGCTTGTAAACAAGCATAGAATAATTAATAGGATTAAAATGACTCATTTAACTGTTAAATGAGAATCCCATTTGGACCTGTTCAAAATAACTTAAACTTACAAAGTTTTGTGCTGATTATGTTCCAGGCAAGCGATATGAACCTGTTACATCAGTTTACTAGAATTATTCTCGTGGACTGTCTTCAATGTTTTTTCTTTTCTTTTTTTTAATGAATCATAGATTAACATAAATGAAGCAGAAGTTGTACTAGCAGGTCCATCTCCTGCAGATATGATGAATACACCAGAGGAACAAGGTAAATTACCACATTTATTCGAAAAATGGGCAAATGTATCTCAATGGCAAGGTTTACCATGTGGTCCACAATATTCACCATGCCAATTGGATCGACCAGATAGTGTATGTCGTCCAAATATTGAGCATGCTACATGTGCTTGTACAACACCATTACAAATGATGCATCTTATGAAAGGACGATTAGATGAAGAAACTAATGAAGTTGAACAACAAGCTTGTTTGCAACGAAAAGTAAGTTGTTTGTTTGGTAATTATTTTATAATATAAAAGAACTTATCAGAATGTTAGAGATTTAAATAAAGTTTATGGTTATAACACATGTTGTTTGCTTGGAACTACTGAACTGATAAGTACTCTCATAAATTTTAACAGCATTGGTACACCTCATATTTGGATTTTCTGATATCTGTATATAATCAACATTGATTTCAAGATTTGTTATCTCCACTAATTCCTAACCTCTAAAACACCATACTATGTACTGGAGACATTTTCTTAGTTTGAAAACAGGACAATGAATACCTTACGACAAATGAATTCAGTATACTTACCAATAAGAATTATAGAGTAATAAATTGGTAATTCTTCGCTCACTAGCTTATAGATGTGTTTTACAGGAAAATTGATTGGTGGAAACTATTTTTACTTCATTATTTTTTCTTCATTGTATTGTTTTGTTCTGTTTCCTACTTCTTAAAAATATTTGTCGAATATAAGCAAAGATGGATAGTGTCTAGCAGTGGAATTCAGAACGCTTGTTTCGTCCTATTTGGGACTCATCAGCTGGATGTACCTGCATCTCAGAGTTGATGTTCACTGTGGGACTCGAACACAACACCGTTTGCTTCAAACGCTATCACATTTTCCACTTAGCTACGAGTCCCGAATAGGACGAATTGCGCGTCCTGGATTCCACTGATAGCTACTATCCATTCTTGCTTAAAAAAGGCTTGTGACCTAAGGCAATATCGAGGCAGTTCACACAGGATGTACATATGCCAACAGGTGACTGATCAATCGCAGTCCTAAATAACAATGGGAAGATACAAGTAAACAACATCAAGTGAATTTATTTATCCAATACTTTGTAAAATGTAGAAAACGGTCTTTAGAGTGGTTGCTTTATCCTATTGTTGTTAATATAAACTATGATTAAAGGACAAATATTTGAATTTTCAAAACAATCGTTTATCACTACTGTTTTATCATAGATTCAATGACCATCTATCTTTACTTATAATATATCCTTTGTAAGAATAAAGTGTGACAATAGTCCTTTGAAATGTTAGACAAAATATCGTAGATCATATATACCTTATATAGTATTCAGTGAACGAGAAAATTTCCAACTTTTCAATAGTCTATGTATACTCGTAAGCTTCGTAAGCAACGGGCAAAAATCCCAGGAAGATTATCAATTCTGAGATGCTGGTATATCCAGCTGACGAGTCCTAAATAGGGAGAAACATGTGTCCTAAATTTTACAGCTGTGGGATATCTGTTGAATTCAAACTGGTTATAATAGTCAACTGGTGTGGTTCTAAATTTTCATGGCTCATAGTAAAGAACTTTTCTAAATCTTACGTTGGCATTGCATATCTATTCCTAAATGATTTAAATGCCTAATCATGTTAAAAAATTTTAAGCCTATAGATAATACTTCTCATTGAGTACTGTCTAGGATGGCAGTAGAAAAATCACAACCCACTGGAAATTTCGTTTCAAGTATTTTTATCATAAAGTCCTTTGATTAGTTAGACTCTTTTGCTTTTTTTTCACTTTGTATTTGATAAGCATAATTCACGAGTAAATCATTTAGATTCTCAGGATCTCCCTCAAAAGTATATATTCTCTGTGAAATATATCTTTTTAATTCCATGATGTCCGTTTGAAGGGGTTTTAACAAGTGATTTGATTCTATTTTCATAGAGAGATTTATATAAAATTTAGAATAATGAACTGAACAGGATGATAATAATAAAAAAGAATGTATTTGTTAAGTTCCCATGAGTAGAAAGTTAGATCTTTGATGTTTTACGAATTAGTGTAAGTAGTTTCTTCAGTGAATAAAATTAAATTTCACAGATTGAAATCATGAGTCAATTGAAGCTAGACCACCATGGAAAACTTGAAAGCACTGGACTGATAGGTCCTGAGTTCGAATCTCGCGAAGTCCCGGATCGTGGATGCGCACTGCTGAGGAGTCCCATACTAGGTGTTCCATGGTGATCTAGCTTCATTTGACTCATGATTTTAATCTGTGAAATTTCTGAAATCTCCACAAACCCTTTCTGATAATAAAATTAAATAACAAATTCAATAAACACAAGTTTACAAAGTACAAAAGTTATAAAGCATAAATATTTTCAGTACAATCAAAATTAACATCGACTTGATCAAGTCAATGTCCTGTTATTTCAGTCGAAGTGATTCTGTGTGAGACTTATTTGTGTGTGTGTGTGTGTGTTAGTGGATGTGGAAAATGTGATATCTGTAATTTTGAAGAGTAAGGTTAAGAATATTTGTATATTTATTAGTGGTATAGAATGTGAACATGATTGAATGCGTGGATATTTGTTAAAATGGTTCATGTTGGATGAATTATTAGGCTTTTCTTGTTATGGAGCATAGTAGAGTCTAGCAAGATATAAAAGTCTACATATAGTCGTCTTTCTTTGTAATCAGAAAATCCTTTATTGAATTATTTAGTTATGATTAGTCTTGATTTGATGGTTATTAAAAATAACATGTGCTGGTATTTCTGATTTGATTTGCTGATTTTCTAGTTACACGAAACTGTTTGCACATCTTTATGTGTAGCTTAAATTTTCTTTGGCACAAGTCGTGATTTTACGAGAAGACTCTCCAATATAGAATGCATCACGATCTTTGCATACTAGTTTGTGGATACTTTTTAGCTTAAGATGTGAACTATAATGTTATGCCGATTGAGCTGGATGATTTAGTTATCTTTCTACGTGTAATAGCGGTGTTTCAATGTGTCTTCACTCTTTTGAACAGAGTTTGTATGTGGTTTAACATATAAATCAATGCTATTGTGATTGCGTATTTAGTCGGAATAATTTTTTCTGTATCGGTTCCGGTGATGAATACATCTAAGAACTGTAGTTTGTTGCCTGATTTCAATTTTTATACGAACTTTATTTCATTGAAGTTACTATTGATCGAATTGTAAGTATATTTCAGCTAAACCTTCTTGATGACGACGAACGTGTCGTCTAAATAGCACATCCAATTGTTTGGTTTGATCATAAGTACGGTTAGAGCTTCCACCTTTCCTTTTAATGTTTATGCAATAAATTTAGATATCGATTATCGCATTGGAGTTCCATTAAACTCAAACAAACCGATACATCCAGAACATAAAACTCCTTATTGTCTACAAGTGAATCTATCGACTGTTAAATTGACTGTATTTTAACTAATGATCAGTAATGAAATCCAGCACGAATTTGTCGCCTTATTTTTGATTTATTAACTGGACGTTACTGTACACTGAAACCTTTAGAATAAATAATGTCTTATTAAGATCCTCTTCTTGAATCATCCAGAGAATACACTTAGTAGGATCCTAGTTTAATATATGATTGTGTGAGCATACTGGTTTCTGAATCGTGATCAGTGTTACTTAATCGGATTAAAACGTTCAAATTTCTAAAATGTTGGGTCGTTTTTCCATAATGTAAGTGTATCTTACCTTTTTTGCCAATACCAGATGGAACTATCTAGGTTAAATTCGGCGTTATCGTCCAGAAATGACGGTCAGTTACAATACGATGGTCCAAATCGTGCACCTTCAAGAGAAATATACAATGAACCAGATGAAGAACTGCCACCAGTTGATCCAGCAAGAGAGATTTTAATCAACTTCGGTGGTTTAACAGTTTATAAATATCGTGGACTTATAAGATTCACGTAAGTATCTATTTTACCCATAGTCAATTATTATAACTCGACACCCAAGTAGGTAATTTTCGGTTATTTGACGAGATATAAGGCAGAAAAAATTGGACAAATTTATTAATATCACGAACCGACCTAAGTTAGACAATATGTGATCTGTTCACTATAAACTAGCTTCAAGGAGAAGTCCCTGGAGATCGGTGGGAATCCATGACCAGTGATCTGAACGTTAAACGTTTGAGGGCAAGATAGAAGATATAAAAAATAAAATACCAATGGATTTACTGTCTAATTGTGTCTATAAAATAAAATTTTCAAATTGTGACTCAATATTTATCAGAAAAGCTTCTCCAGCGATCAATATGTTTTTTGTTCATCGAGAAACTCAGTAGAACTTAGGAAATGTTCGGCCATAAGTCTACAGGCTGTACTACTAGTCCATAAGATTGACTTTAACAATATTAAAATCGTTCAGCAAAATTTTAAAAGACATAGAGAATAGCTCATGAACAGTACACTTCACATTAAATGGAATTTGAATCGTCTAAAAAGGAATGAGAGGATAAAATGAAATTCAACGTGACTTCAGCACGATGTTCTCACAGATCGACACTGTGAACATAAATGTGAGAAGAATTTCTCATGACATAAATATATTCTGACTTGAGAACTTATACGCCTATTGAATCAGACAATGTAGCCAGCTCTCGCTTTCAACTCGAATAAGAGAACATGTCTCAGTGTGATTCTACAATGGTGAGAGGAAAGTAGTTAGGAGTTCGATACTTGAACATCTAATCGATTGTAATCATTCTACTGATCCACAGTTTGATTTTAAGGTTGTATATACGATTCGTTCAAACCTACATAGAGTTCTTTGTATACAACTCCTAAAAATACCCAAAGCTCTTACTATTCATGGGGTCAAGCCAGAACTATACGTACAAAAGAAGTACGTCCTATCGTTATTGTTACCTTGGCCTTTATTATTATTATTATTATTATTATTATTATTATTATTATTATTACTGCATTTCTTCCTTAACTTATGTCTCATATTCTCATTATTTTATTCATAATTGCTCATGATATCACTTTATTTATTTATTTATTTATACCTCTGTGACCTTTAATTATTGTAACAAAGACATTTTAACCATACAACATTCGCGTTACAATTCGTTATTAACTTAATAAGGCCATTATTATTAGTAGTATTAGGTAATCTAGTATTATAATCTTTGTATATGCATCACCTTGGTTATCGCTTGTTCACATTTCCTCACTGAACTAGTACTTTAACAATCTACATGTGTTTGCTATCTATATTAATCTATTTCCTCAATAACATAGGATTATTCGACGAGATAAACCTTGACCAATTTACCACATATGTTCTAAGATTTTTATAAATTCGTGTTTATTATTACTTTGACAAAGGTATTTGCACTGAATGACAATAGGTCAAAGAGATGGGAACTCACTGATGACAATGGTGGAGGGTGGCGCAACTTTGTGGATTAGTTAGACATTTATTAGACTTTAACACCGGTTCAGTGGTTTACAAGTTAAGCACTCGCGTGAGAGATTGATAGGTCCTGGGTTTGAATCTCGAGAGGTGGAATAGTGGATGCGTACTGCTGAGGAGTCCCATACTAGGACGAAACGGCCAGCTGTCCAGTGCTTCCAAGTTTTCCATGGTGGTCTAACTTCACTTGACTCATGATTTCAATCTGTGAAATTTCTAAAATCTCTACAAACTTCTATTAATAATGAATTTCATTTTATGTTTTCCAATTTTTTTATATTTTTTTATTTGTTTTGTATATATTGTACTAAAAAAACAAGGTCAGATTTTAATATTCGTCTCCGTCTACGGACAAATAAAATGAACGGTTTAATTTTATTAATGGTTGAACAAGATTCATTGAATCCTCAACATGATCTATCATCATCATCAATTTTAAATCAACCAGTAACACAAATTACAACTAATTCAGAATTTGTATCAATCGTATTACGTAATGGTCGTGTTGAATTATTATTGAATTTAGTTACTTCAAGTAAAACGAAAGATCAATCTTGGAATATAAATAATAATGAAAATGATAATCCAATATTTAATCGTCTTATGCCTATTCAAGCAAGACATAAAGTAAACGATGGTGAATGGCATATGATACAAGCTATGGGGTTAGAAAATAAAATATAATATTGCTATTTTAAATCGTGTTATTTATATTTTATAAAGTGATTTTGTACATAGTATTTTGATCTGTTAGGTGGTTGAAGCAACAGTTCATGATACATCATACTTATCAGCAAGGCCTATTTTTAATCTTATCGGAACTGGTGATCCCTTTACTGTGTAAACTCATGTCACTAAGTAGCTTTATATTTTTTTAAGTGGAATGTTACAGGCTACCTCGTACTTATTGACAATATAATTTCATATATACAGGAGGCCTGCTTGAACATCTGGGTTACCTGTTTCTACCATTTAGATATTTCAATAAGTTATCTGTTTTTGCTTGTTTTAACACATCACTGTTTGTTAAACTGAACAAAACTAATAATTATAATCACTGTCAATGATGTTACCAATGAACTCTTCATGTAGTGGTTGACCTCCATTAGGACTGATATATTTACAGGTACATAATTACTGTAAAGATAAACAACAGCTGAAACAGTGTCTTCTGTATGAATGACCTACATAAACCGACCATTTTCGTGTTATCTTCCTTCAATTCAAGAATGTTATTGAGTATTGTACAGTATTTTGCATGAGTTTTCAGCAAAGATTTCAATAAATTTGCAGTTAGATTTCAGGTATTACAGATACCATTAACATCACCCTACAAAAATGACAAAGTATATATGTACACTGAAACTGAATTCCGAGTTATCTCTGACCAGTGTTTCAGCATCAAAATAAACCACGCTAAAACTATAGAATCTTCAATATTGTAGGTGTTTGTAATTAAAAAATTAAACTAAACTTCACTAATTGAGTTTAACAGAAACTACAGGTGATATTCATTTTTACGTACATGATTTCGTTTGTCCAAGTTCACCGAATAGGAAATGATTTAATAAAATTGCTTAATATTTTTCAATACTTAGCATATATTTCATGCATCTTGATCTCTTGATAAAATTAAATAAAGCTAGAAGAACAAGATTTGTAGAATAACATCCATTAAAGATACTTCATAGCTTCTTAACATATATACTGATTGGTTAATTTACGTTTATCAATCGAATAAGAGATAAGTCCCGATAGACTTGATAGCTTTATTTTTTTAGTGGAATGTTACAGACTACCTCTTACTAACTGACAACTTTAAATTGAGCGTGGTTTCTTGTATTTCCATTGGCTGGTTGCTTTTTTAACTTCGAGATTAAATTCATCACTTTCTTATGATTGAACAAACCTTTTTTTCACCCTGAAGTGATGAGTTGAATTTTTTATTTCACCCATAACTATCATAATCTGTGATAATACAGTGATCTAATATGAACGTAAATATCAGTCTTGATAATAATGATCTGATCATTAAAAACCAACTTGAATAAACACCTCTGAGAACCATTTATTGCATATTGAAAACTCAAAGTTCAGCGAAGGGATCACTTTTCACTGAATTCACTGTAAAGCTGTACAAATATATTTTATACGAATATTCGTCAATATTAGAACGAATAGTGTTTTTTGGAAATCAAACGCCGAGAATAAAGAAGACATCATATATGAAAATTATATTTGAAATAATCTCAGCGATTGAAACATAAACAATTCCAACGTTCCATCCAGCAAACGTGTCTGGACTTCTTCAGGGTAATAATCAAAATTATCAGAGAATATATAATGTTTAATAATTGAATCAAGTCTATGCTGTGCTTGCCCAGTCACATTCAAATGTTCACTTCAGTTATACGTTCATATATACGCGATTGTAAAGCTTAATGGTAAATTCGTTACAAAGGGATCCATTCTTTAAATTTTAAGTTTTTAATGTCTGTCTCGTACTGGTTATGACACATAGTTGAAAGTCTCTGATAAAGTTCGGGAACGTTTTTATGGAATTAAATTTAACTGTTTAAGATCGTTAAATCTACTTTCTAAACTAGTGTATGGAAAATCTTTAAATAATGGTTTTTACAAAATCGATTAAAATTTGCTTTTTTCTACGGCATCCCAAATGTTATTAAATTAGCTACTTATAAATGCTTATTGAAAGCATAGTTCTCTGTTGCAGCTTAAAAATCTAAAGTTAAGGTTCTGATAAATAACTTAGTCACACGCAATCAAACTACAAAATATCTGAACCCATTCAGATCAACAAATTTAATACCGCCAACCATTTCCTGTGAAGTAAATTAAACGGATACAAAAATTTACAATTTAGGGAAACTTTGAAGTAGATTACCTACCGTTTTCATAAAATTTAAGGATATGTGTTGTCCCCCCTGTAACAAGCAGTGTATTATAATGTATCCAAAAAACTTAAGCTACTAACTATATTAACAGTAGTACATTTAATTGTCAACAATGTGTTCGCATAATAATACTGTCATTTATATTACTTGTCATAAAATTTCAAAATTTTGTCCTCTCTTTACAGGAATAAACAACGAGCAACCTTATTCGTTGACAATCACATGGTTTCTGGTGAATTCACAGGTATTTCAGATTATGATACTCCCCCGGTGAGAGATGTCTATCTCGGTGAGTCACTAATAATCTCCTCCTTGAAAAATAAGTTGCTAATTCTTAGTTACGATAACCACAGGTTACACTTAGGGAAAGTTGATATTTGGATATATAGTTTCTGGCACTTAGCCATAGGGGCTTAAAAAAGTATTATTCTTCCAAAAATCACACATTCATATGAACATTTCTTCGGGTATCACTTCATCAAAGAGTAGTAACTAATGTCAAAGACTATATCCCAGAGATTCATTGCACTCTAGCATTCCTAATTAATTTTTAGCGGTAAATTAATGTATGGAATTCAATACTATACTATTCTGTAGTGTCGTTTGAGAAGGTAGCTATGAGAGTATCTATGATTAACATAAAACTCTTAAACTACTATTTCTAAATGAACAGATATTTCAGCATATGGTAACTAACTTTCTTGCTGTATTTAATATGTCACGGTATTTAATAACTACCAGTAAGTAAAAATCTAAGAGTAATGACTAATTGAGTTCACTTTTCAATCGATTACTAAACTTCTCATCTGAAAAAAATAAAATCACTTTCTACATTTCAGTAAATTTCGTAAACTACAGCATTAAATAGGGTATAAGCAAAAATCTAACTAATCAAACTACAAATGTAAACTAAGAAAACTTGGCAACTCTGGACTACTGATTCATTCAAGTTTAGAACTCATCAGTAGTTTGCACCGACGTTCCTACATATACTCGGGTATACAATTTAAAAAAGAATATACAAAGTAAAGGAAAAGTAGTCGCCTGTTGTTATTATGTATTAATGGCAAACTAATGTTTGAGATCAAGTATGATAAACAAAAAGGATAATCAAACCAGAAAACATCTGTTTAGGTAGTAATTGAGCGCTTGTCAAAAACCAAGTGAAACGAAAAACCCTCTTAGCTGGAATTCATGTGAAAATTATGACAAGTGACTGGAAAATGTAGGTTATATGTTTCAAAACTTATCACAATGATCTAGACTTAAGGCTATGAACTTCTGATCAAGCTATTGACAATCTTATTTACGTCTAAAATAAACTTAATACAAATAGTTTAAGAGTAAATATCGTCAAGCAACTTCAAACCAGTTCCAACTTTTTGATTGTCAATTTCTTTCTCCAACTATTTCATTTTATTTTTTTGATCAGATCCTACTATTTTATGCGAGTAATTCATCTCACTTCAAAAAGACTTGATAGTCATTATTGATGAATTCATTTGTACTGATTGTTTGAAATTTCCCGTCGATGTTATAAATTGAAATTTATAAGCCAGTAACTAGTTGAACTCATTGAACTTAGTCGAGAACACATTATGCTAGAATCAAGTTCCTCTATAATCATCTACACTAAAATCTAAGTACATTCAGTTAAAGGTTCCCAAAAAAGACAAAACTCTCATCCTATATTCTAACACAAGCCATTATTCAATTATACTTATAAACATTAATTTTAAATCCTCATTACTTTTTTTTTAAATTTTCTTCCAAAAGGTGGGACATTATTTAATATTATTGGATTATCAAGTGATTATCAACAAAATTTCACTGGTTGTATTGGTGATATGCTTATTCAAGAGAAAATTATACCAATCTTATCAGAAGCAACAGAAATACATGGTCCTATTGAAAGATGTAAAACACCATGAAATAAATAAATAATATAAACAAATATATTCTATTGAATGAGTTGAATAGGAAAAATTATTAAAACTTAGATAATGAATTATTTATTTGTAAATGAAAATGAACCTACAAAAACTAAAAAGAATCCTTTGTGTTGTATAAATCAATAAATAAACACCAATTATTTATTCATTTTAATAAACTATGATACTTAGGTAAAATGCCAACTCATGATATTTTATTGATATCCTCAAGAAAATAATCAATACTTTCCTTTTATTTTTCTCCTTCCTCCCCCCCTCTTACTGTCTCTCTCTCTCTCTGTAGTTCAATGATGAATATCTATTGTTGCTTATGTTATTCGTTGTTTTTTTGTTGTTTCATTTTAATCTTCATCTATCCATTTTTGTTGTTGTGGTTGTTGTTGCTGCTCAAAATTTCAATGTTACAACTAATTCATTGGACTCTTGAATCTTCTATTAATCCATTTCTAAACACCAAATATTGAAAAAAAATATTGATTCTTTGTTTTATTTTAAATCAAATTAGATTTTTCAATATTGCCATGGCTACAAATCAAAATCAGAATTGATTATGTAATGTGAATTTGTTTAAATATTATGCAATCATTCATTGTCATACATATATATATATATATATATATATATATATATATATATATATATATATATATATATATATATATATATATATATATATATATATATATATATATATATATTAGTGATTTTTTAAAATTATAAAACATTCATATAGCGCACAAATACTGTAATTGAACATTTGCACAAATAGATATTTATATTATCAAATTACTTATTATTATAAAACAGTTTACTTTGTCCCAATAATTTTGGCATAAATATATACCATATACCCTATTTTACATATTAATTATATAGATTTTAATATTTTTAATGTCATATTCATGATCATCATAACATTAAATAATTTAAAAAAGAAAGATTTAATTTCATCTTATCAGAAGGGGGTTTTGTGGAGATTTTAGTAATTTCAATGGTTGAGATCATGAATCAGTTGAAGCTAGACCAACATAAAATACCTGGAAGCATTGGATGGCCGTTTAGACCTAGTATGGGACTCCTCAACAGTACGCATCCACGATCCCACCACCATCCCTTCCGCGAGATTCGAAACCAGAACCTATAAGTCTTCCGCGCGAGCGCTTAACCATTAGACCACTGAGTCGGCCGGCATCCAACGGCAGAATCGTGGATGCGCACTGCTGAGAAGTTCCATATTACGACGAAACGGCCGTTCTCTGTTTCCAGTTTCGCCATAGTGGTCTAGCTTCAATTAACTCATGATTTCAACTATTAATTTCATAAGCACAGATGGATAGTGGCTAGCAATGGAATCCAGAATGCGTGTTTCGTCCTATTTGGGACTCGTCAGCTGGATTTACATGCATCTCAGAGTTGATGTTCACTCTGGGACTCGAACTCAGTACCGTTTGCTTCAAACGCCATCGCGTTATCCACTTAGCTACTGAGTCCCGATAGCCATCAATAGGAAGATTCAAGTAAAACAATACCAAGTGAATTATTAATTTCATGTTGTTTATCGACAGTTTCATGAAAAATATCAAAATATTAAAGGAAAAGTATCTTTTTTTAAAAACTACATATACGTAATACATTTTACTAAACATTTTAGTTCTAGTTGTTTTTAACTTACCTATTTGGCAAACAAACAAACAAACAAGAAAAGTGAAATGGGTGAAAACATTTCTATTATTGGTTTGTTTTTGACTATCATGTTACTACTACATGTTTTACAAATTATCATGAAATAAATACCAATCAAATTATGACTAGTTAACTAATTAATATAATTTAGAATTCAAATATTAACAATAGTTAAATATGGAAACAAGAGATGATACGTGTTGTGTTGATACGAAGAATGACAGTTCATTTGCAAGTTCTTCTGCGCATTGAATAGACTGTTACTTACTTAATTATTAACGCCTGTTCCTCCTTGTGGAGTAGCATAGGCCACCCACCAGCATTCTACACCCAACTCTGTACTGCACAATCCTTTCCAGCTCTTTCAAGTTCCAGTTGCTATTCATCCATTTCATATCTCCTTCCAATTCTCCACTCGGTGTGCTATCTCGTCTTACACGTTTCCATTGCCTTTCACGATTCCATGTTAGCGCTTGCTTCGTGATGAAGTCTGGTGATTTCTACAATCTATGTCCTATCCACTCCAAACATCTCTTCCTCATTTCCTCCACAGCTAGCTCGAAGTTGGATTGTTCTGTCCCATAGTAGGTTGTTACTCATGGTATCTGACCAATCGACATTGAGTATCTCGAGTAGACAACTATTTATAAATAATTGCACCTTCTTCATGATGCTTGTGGTAGTTCTCGAAGTTTCAACTACGGACAGTAGAACTGACTGTCTTGACGTAAGTATTGAACATTATGACTTTGATATTGGTTGACAGTTGTTTTGAGTCGCATACGTTCTTCAACTGTAGGAATACTGTCCTATCTTTGCCAATCCTCGCCTTCACTTCTGCATCACATCCTCATTCTCCATCGATAATGTCGCCGACCAGATACGTGAATCTTCCCACCTCTTCCAGAGATTCTCCATCAAGTGTGATTAGGTTGGTGTTCTCCGTGTTGTATTTGAGTGTGTTGCTTTCTCCCTTGTGTATGTTGAGGCATACTACTGCAGAGGCTGCTACTACACTAGTTGTCTTCATCTGCATTTGTTCGTGTGTATGGGATAGGAGGGCTAGGTCATGTGAGAAGTCCAAATCGTCCAATTAGTTCTGAGCTGTCCATTTTAAAAATGGACAGCTCAGAACGCTAACCAGAATAAACAGTTACATAATATTATAGGTGATATCGAGGACAGAGTTAATGAGGGTGGTTGTACATATTTCGACTGAACGAAAACATCCGGTATTTTACTATAGGGAACGATAACTTCATCCATGCTCAATAGACGCTTACGTAAACTATTGAGAAAACTAAAATAAATCACTTGAAATGCCTCATATAAATCCATTCGTTGTCCAATGTCTATCGAGTTAATGGTAGTAGACAGATTTGACTGTATGTTTGAGCTATCTGAGGTACTCTTGTAGGAAATCTTATAAAGTGTTAAGGAACCTTTCAAGTCTAGACTTCAACTGATAATCACAACGGTCTCGTCTAACGAATGATGAAAACCAAGGTAAACTATATCGATATTTGACTATATAACGTTAGTTTGGATCCAAAGTGTTGGATTTAAGAACACTCCTGGTCTTCCCTTGTGAAACTTAACTTTAATTGGAGGATGCTTAATTACTCCTTATGTTAGGTCTTTGTTGTTTCAAAGGATTTCCCACATCCGGTAACAACACCGTGTAACAGTCTCATGATCCGGTTACGCATAGTGATTATACTTGTGTAATCGACCTGAAGTACCAGATCAGTCGTATTTCACGAATATTAATCCAGTGGATCTCATATCTCAGACTATTTTCGACACTGTGGAAAAGAGGACAAACGGTCACTTCATGACACCGCCTGTGTGATCTACCCTATCCAAATTGTTTATAACATTATCATTTCATGATGTGTAGCTAACTTGTCTGTCCCATTTAGTATTGTTTCTTGTCAGTGATATAAAAACCTAATGGTTCTGGATGCATAGGACAGAGTGAAAGAAATCAAAGTGATTAATGACCACACCTTAATTTCTTTGTATATTCTTCATGAATGAGCCGTGTTAGCGAGAGGAAACAAATCTACCTAATTCCGTTATTAATTTTACTGTACTCTTTGATATTCTTGTTTTTATCATTATAATCATTCTGAATCAATCATTTCTTTACAAAACTCATGCACTTCTGACCACTGAAATAGATAAGGTTTTATCGAGATTGCTAAATTTTCATATTTTACTTTACATAATGATCTTAGTTAGACAACCTAGAACCATTGGATAGCTGTTTCATCCTAATATAGACCCCCTTAGAAATATACACCCACAACACTAACACTAAAGAGTCGAAACTACAAACTTCAGTTTCATGAGCTAACGCTTAATCTCTTGATCATTGATCTGGAATCCAATGGTATACAACATGTCCGGACTTAATTAATCTTTCTTATTTTCAATAAATAGTATCTAAACCCAAAATGTTTACCTACAAATGAAGGAATCATAATTAGGGTCAGGAGCCTAGTTATCACAAATCTTTTTCTTTTAAATTGAAAAGTACGCAGTCTGATCAAAGAGAAAATCTTTTCGAAATTTCCATTCAAATAAAAAATATACATTATTGAGCAGATACATATGTGATATATCTCTGTAACTTCATTTATATATGTAACATATGAACAGATACAATTGAAGGTTGTTACGTGGAAACAATGAGAAATTAGAAAAATACAAGCTCACATATTAAATCGATGACTAGTGTCATTGATCTTTGTTGACAAACAGTAAATTGTTCACAAATAATATAACTATTCATACATGTTTACATGTATGAGTTTTATTTAACTATTTCTATTTCTCTTTTTTTTGAAATGCCATCGACAACAACAATAACAAAATGTAGGAAAAATATAAACATTGTCTATAGTGATAATTACATGTTTAGTTTGTATAATTTTGTTAATTATTAGAAATATTCACATTGGAAGTTGTTATATTACTGGTAACAATAATACTGGTTGATGTAGAAGGGTCAACATTATTATTATTATTATTACTGGTAATAGTTGAAACAGTAGGATTATTCACTGGAGCACTACTACTAATACTACTGATCATGACGGTCACATTACTAGTTGTTGGATTGTGAACTGGATTGCTGACAACAAGTTGAGTAGATGAAG